CGAAAATACCTGAGAAAGCCGCGCCACGAGCAGCATACGCCGTTAATAATATCGTGGTACGCGCGTGTACATCCGTTTGAGGATACGACAAAGCTAGAACGAAATAACTTTGATTAGAAAGAGACAGAGAGAGATATACATAGAGGCCTTTACGGGCTCACCGAGTGGAATTACTCTCGTCGACGAGAACCTAACATTTTCACGGAATATGTGTGCTCTTTGTATTACACGCTCGTGTGTATGTGTATACATGCGTGGATGGATTATACATTCGGCACACGAGGCTCGTATGTGAACGAGGTGCGTAAACGCGTAGTGACTCTGTGCTCCAGCGGCGATGCTAAACTTTAGGGATGCAGAAGCTGAAAGCCAGAGATGAGACGTCGAAACGTGAAATGTTAAATTTATTCGTCGTACGAGCTTCGAGCGTATTGTATTGTCGTGCTAGCGGAATTGAGTTATGGCTTTTACTTATGAACTCTATCTATCTCTATCAGCGCGAAAAATCACACGCAATTTCGCAGATCGATTTTGTTCATTACTGTTACACGAAGGGACGTCGATGACGCGCGCGCGTATTTCAATCAACTTACATTCCATTATAGCCACACAGAATCCAGATTATGTTCGCGAGGTAACATGCGCTTCATTAACGCGGACTTGATGTAATACGATACGTCAATGTTTACAAATAATGTGCTTCTGGATTATCACAACTATTATGATCAGTGTAAGGAAAGCTCTATAAACCGCTCGCGAAATGTGAGAATCGCTCGCGCTCGCCCGTTTTCTTTCGCTCGTCGTGACGAGAAAAAAATGAAATAAAACAAAACATCCGCTCGCACTCGGAGTTATGCGAAATTATTAGATGAACAAAAAATTAAATTTGATCATTCGCAATGATTACCTGATTTAAATCGAAGATCCCGCTAGCTGTGGTATCCGCGACCACGAAGGTCGCGGACACTGCTGCACCTTTCCCACCTGCCGACTCGATGCAATTACCGAGATTTGGATCAGGGCGCCGTCGAGGGGTGGGCTTTTTTCAATTTTCGTCTACCTGTCGCACTGCGTACGAGATCGACGCGAGCTGTAATCGTTGAGCGACGCACAGAGGCTACTTCGGCTAACAGACTGCGACCATAATCAGGCGTCAAGCTACACGTACTGACCGATAATGTACACAGTCGCGCGTGTGCACACGCACACACACACACACACACACACACACACACACACACGAACATGTATTCATACATACAAGTTCGCGATACAATGGACTCGTGATAATACACTCTCGAACGAGGAGCGATTCGTGCGACCGAGAGCGAGAGAGAAGGGGAATTTTGTCAATTTTATCGTTCCTTGAAACGCAGAGACAGCTCCGAGGCGCTGATACGAGATAAGCCTGCGCGAGCTTTCCTTGTCATACGAACGTACACACGAATTACGTTACGAGTATCATGGTATTTTCTGACCCGGGTAATCTGCTGCCACTGGGTCTATATAGCTCGTATCTAGTTGTTTTTACCTATATTCCGCGCTACTCTCCGGAGCTCCTAAATATGGCTTGTACGAGCCATGGGGCATTATATACAGTTGCATCCGGCTGTGGTGACGCTGCAACGATATGCTTTATATCTGTTATGGTATACGTATGCACCGGACGATGCTTAAGCTGCGTATATCTATACAGCACGACGCATAAGAACGCTATAGAGCCAGAGTACGGCGCTAGAAATGCCACGGCTATATCGTCGAAATTGAATTTTGCGCCGGGGAGGTTCGCTCGGTCGCTCGGCTGCCTGCCTGCCTGCCTGCCTGCTCGGTTGCGGCATCTCGTTAATTTAATGTGATTATTGCACGAGGAACGTCGCTGTATTTATGTATGTACAGGTATATATAGATGCGCTAGGTGAGGCTTTTTGTCGAAAGCAGCAGCAGGAGAGAGAGACAGACTGATGATCGTACGGCGCGCTTTCTCCGCATCAGTCAACTACTCGCTGATACCTTGATACTTGATGAGTTTATCGATTTTGCGATTAAAAGCTCCCCTGCGCGCTCATTCTCTTTCTTTCTGTCTCTCTGGCTCCGTGGCAGCAGCTTCTCCTCTACTTTCTCACTTTAAATGCGTACATATTTATTTATTCCCGCAGACGTGCCGCGCCGCGCGTGTTAGTCTCACTTATATAGAGAACCGTATCGACTTTGTATTCCTCGAGCTCGACACGGCATCTCGTGTAACACAGCATCTCGTATAAATGCTCGGGATAATTATTTTATCGATTTGCCATTAGCACTCGCAATTCTCTCGCGAGCTCGACGCAATCATCGTGATTTTAATTTATTGTATAAAATGAATTGAAAACATTCTCTGTGGAGCTTTTTAACGGGCTCATTCTTCTTATATTTCCTTTGCGCGAGCTGATCGTTTGACGCAGCAAAGAGACAAAAAAACTGCACTCAAAGTAATAATATGTTTGGCGCAACGAATACATTCTCCAAATGCACTCTTATCGGCCGTGCAAAAAAGCGTAACTTTGAGCGCCGCGTAAATATCTTATCGCATTACGTAGTGTCGCATAGTGTTGTGAACCTGTACGCGTACACCTCGACGTTCTCCACGGCTATAGGGATATGGATGTGTACGTGGGCAGACACGAAGTTGATAATCGACGCGCGACTCGATACTCGTGCGTGCGAGCTCCGCTGCGAGAATTTTGGAGCACACGAAGCTCTCGACTGCGCGCGCGGACGAGAGAATAAACGCGGAATTGCAGTCGGCCGGTACTATACACAGTAGTCGAGATAAAGGATACTCTCGAGAGCGAGGCCATAATACAAGTGACATAATATTCCATACGAATGAGTGACGGACAGGATACATCCTATCCTTCTGTACAATGCATACATAGATATATATATATACGCTCGTGCAGCACACGTTGCATTTCTCGCATTACGTAAAAGTCGAGCCGCGACGAGAGAGTCGAGGCGCACGAATATAGCCTGCGGCTTGGCATAGCTCTTTCTATACGCCGCTGTATACATACAGTACTACGTACATACATTGCAGTCTGAGGCGCATGTACATCCTACAGCGGAAACGAAGCGCGACTATTCGTGTGTGTAGACTGGCTCTAGCCCATAACGCGGCTCTCTGTGCCGTTTGATACTACCTACCTTACCTCACGGTATAGCGCTCTTACTTTGTTGCTAAGCTGCTGCTCCGCACTTTCACCTGGGAGAGCTCCGGGTGTACTACTACCTATATACCTACACACACAGTACATGCATATACACACGCCTTCTCCTCGGCAATTTTTTTCCTTTTTCCTTTTTTTTTTTTGCAGCTCGAGCAAATCTCTCGCGTAAACTTTTGCCTCTTTTTTCCTTTTTTTTTCTTCTTTCCGACCAAAGTTTGCGGTTATATCATGCGCGTGTGCACCCAACTGTATCCGTATACGCATCTTTTATTTGTATGCCGAATGCACATATGTATAGGATTTTTTTTACGTTTTAATTCTCTGGTGCATGAATATGTAAATTTTATAAATATTGATACCGAGGCGCGCGCGTGTGTGTATCTGTCTACCTGTCTGTCTGTGCCTTGGCGTGTGGGTAATTCGTCTATTGTAAGAGCGGGGTAACGCGCGCGCGCGCTCGCTGCAAATAAGCAAATTGCTCTCCTAGAGTTGTATAAACACAAACAAGTCGCGGCAAAATGGAATTCGGACCGCGTTCCAATGTAGCAATTTAAAGTTCAATTTGAATAGTCTCACGATTCACGTGTGGCGCGAGAGTCTGCCGCCGTATGCGCGTGTATAGAGAGCACACACAGCCAAGAGCACAATGAAAAACTTCGACGCACGCTGGAAAATTTGGCCCAAAATTGCTTAATCCCGAGCCTGTGTAGTCTACTAGAGTGTATGAATGAAAAAGTTTGCTTCCGCAATCTTTATGAAATTGCAGTTTTTTTTTATTAGATTTATCATACTGCGCCTTTAATAAATGCACGTATATTGTGTGGAATAAAAATTGTATTCTTTCAAAATTTTATAAGAATTGTTGGCAAAAAAGTTATGAATACGGATAAAAGAGTTTATATTTGCGGTTTCCGCGTGAGGAAATAAACTTCCTTGCCTCTTTGCTTTTTTGTTATAAAAATGGATTTTTTAAACATTTCATTTGCGCATAATAATGTAAATTTTGTATTCGTGAGAATGGTTTTATCTTTATTTGACAATGGCCATGAAGTTTTTTAATGAGTCATCGGTCAGTTGGTGTTCTTATTAGTAAAAAAATAAAATCGAAAGAACATATTTTTGTTTCAAATCCTTGAAAAAAATGCATGCTTATGTATTCAAGCATAATCTTTCTAAAATCCATTAATGAAAATGTTTTGATCAATTTCGTAGTTAATTTGTTCATTTATGAGATACTATGCATTAATTTGACCTGATAATTTGCTAGACCGATGTTAACTTTTCTTGTAGCTCTTTCATATGTTAATAAATCATTAGCGTTATACTTTCAGTCAATAAAATATTAAAGGTATAATTGAAGGTGTATATTGAAGGTATGAATCATTCAAAATGAATATTATTAAACTAAATTGTAATACATTTATTAATTGTTATATATTGTATTTAATATTAAAATTATAACGTATTCTGCATTTGAAAAAAGTGTTTAAAGAAATTGTAGAGACATTTAGTACACCATGCGTCTAAAAACATTCCCTCTTCAATATGAAATAAATGTAGGTATAAAAATTACTTGTGCAGTAAAAATTTAATCATCATTAAACATTTGTTAAAAGTTTATACAGTTTATGTAAAAATAACATCAACAAAATTTCATCACTGCTGTTGGTAAAAAACTTATTCTTAATTGTTTTCTTTAATTTACATAAAAGAAATTTACAAGACACCTTTAAGTACGTAAGTTTATAAACAAGTTTATCTACGATCCCAATTGTACTATAGAAAAATGGAAATCTAGTCAATAGATAACTGCCTGAAAGAGCCATCAAGACCAAACAGGTCATCGTGAGTCTTGGGTTTGCCTGGTCGAAGGAGTTCATTCGTTTTAACGGATTCTTGCTCCTTGAACCACGGGCCGTACTCCTCCAGCTTTTTCATCCAAGTTTCTGAAAAGAAAAAAAGATTGACTTTTAGCATGAAAATACAATGTTTTATAGCTCACAGTTGCCATGTATAAGAAAACTTTGAAACCCCACAATAAGCTATCGAAATATTTTTAAGTAAATAAAACGATTATTGATAAAATATTTTCTTTGCTAGTTGTCTTGAAAGTTTCATAAAGTTTTATGCTTTTTTGATTCATTGATTTCGTATAAAACGTTCAATGGCACTTGCAATTACAGTAAATTATAAGAATACTCGGTTTTTAAGAGCATAATCGCATCGTAACAATTGTAACCTAGATTAAGCACGAGTTCAAACATTGTACATAAACCAGTCGTCGGGACTATTAAGTTCGAGTTAAATGCCATACAACGACGAAAGTAGCTCTAGTTTATTAATAAAAGGCATTGCGCGCGACCTTGGGTGTTAAACTTTTCTTCGACAATGTTATTAATACTCGATCGTACCGTGAATCGCTTGGATCGGCCCAGCCTGGCCGCCGTACTCCTCGGGCAATATCTCTCTGGGTATGTAATCGTAGAGCTGCTCCATTTTGCTGTGGACGAATATTCTGTTGCGAATCTTCTCCTTGAGCAATGGTTTAACAAAATTGACGATGCTGTCAACGATCGGCGAGACGTTCACCACGTGCACCTCCTTCAGTTTGACCGGATAAGCCTCTTGTACGCAGACGAGGAATTTCTTTACAAGGCTCGGGGTGAATTTGGCAAAGTGAGCCGCGGTCGCGACGCTGGCGTCGAGTATGTACACGTCGCCGGCTACGCCGACCAGTTCCTCCTTCAAACGGATGTCGCCGATCATCATGACGAGTTTCATGGCCTCGGCGACGTTGGGTGTTGGCAGGTCCTTGTCGATTCCACGCATCACCACGACGCGACGGCCGTTTTTCGTCAGGCCAGGTAGTGGTGGTACTTGGCTGGAAAAAAATTTTATTCGTCTAGTATATTTGTTTCGTATCTTTTAATGGTATAATTATATTTAACAGAAAGTTTTATTGTGCGAAAAAGTCGGTAAGTGGTTTTTTTCGATCCATTGGCATTTCTTTTACAATAATCAGCGTGAACGTGAAAATGAGAATGCACAGTGGACCTTGGACTACTTTTGTTCCGCTCTGAGCACGGTGAAATGCCACGTAAATACTATTTTCATGCTTACACAACTTTGGTGAGCTCTCTCATTTCGGCTCTGGTAATATCGCGATTAGCGAAAAATTCCGGGACGAGGGAACGCATCGTGAAATAATTGTCAAGTTTGCGCTTGCACTTCTCGAGCGAAAATTTGCACCCACGTAGAAATGTCATCAGCCGGTAGTCATCTGTGAAAAAAAAGGAATTTTATTCACGGAGCTCTGAATATAATTTAAAATTATAATTTGTGGCATTTTGGAGGTAAAAATAGATCCTTACCGTCGAATTTTGGCAAATGTGGTTGTTTAGCCAGCCATTCCTTGATGTATTTCAGATCTCTCTCGCGGGTATCGACATTTTCGTTGAGCTCCTTACGGATCAACTTGGACATTTCTTCCGTTGGCTGAACGAGCAACATCTGTAATTTAGTAAAATTGATATTATATATCAAACTATCGAAAATGAAACTATTTTAAATTCTCTTAATCATAAGTTTGACCTACGGCGTCTTTTGTCATTTTTTATCATAGAAAACAAATTTAAATTCGACAAATTTAAACAAGTGTATAACAGATATGGTACGGAAGTTTTTCGACTAATTAATTAGCATCATTGGAATCAATCACAATAAAAAAACAACTACTTTTAAACATGTATTTTTATAAATACACCGTTGAAAAGAGTATTTACATTCGTTTGCAAATCGATAACGTTTGAATAATTCATCGTCATAAAATGCGCTTAAGCATAAAAAGTTTACACTAGCAGAGTAATATATAATGACGTTGATCTTCATGTACGTCTTATATATAGGTGCTCGTATACTCGCTTGACCCTGTCCATACATTTGCCTATTGTACATGGCTATCTATAGACTCATTGTCTTCTGTAAACTATCATTGTTAATCCGGCAAATATGCTGTTTTTCCGCACATTTACAGGCGCGTGTTTAGCTACTCGTGCATTCCAGTATCCCTGTAATTTGGATGCGAATCGATTTCATGAAACTATTATGATTTCTCATACACTTGACTAATTTATTATATTTTTGCTTTAAAGCAAGTGATTTTTTATCGCTGCATCCGTTAAATAATTGAAAAGCAAAAAAAATTAGTCTCATTCAGAGACCTTGAGCGAAAAGAAAGGAACGGGTGTACTCATTTGATACTCGGAAAATTCATAGCTTTTGAAAATTAGTCATTAGTCTGGTGATAATTGTATACGATGTGTGAAATTTCAAAAAGATGAACACTGTCTTTGAGCAATATGATGAAATTAATGAATAATTGCACGCGTCAACGATTATCCCTTTTTTGTTTTGAATGTACGTTCTCTTTTAAAATGTTTATGCATTTGAATGGCTTTTGCTTTCTGATTGTAGGAAAGAGTGGCTTCGCAATTATCACGTTATTGACACGCCGGAAGAATAACAGTTTAATTTAATCAACTGCAGCCATTTGAAAAACAATAATAAACAACAAAATTAATTAAATTTAAATGATTGAAAACACAAAGAGCCTATTGGGCGTTGAACTTTATATGTAGATATAGTAATAGCTATACCAATATGGCGTCGTACCCACGGAGATTAACACGCGTTTAATACAAATAATCTCAATTAAACACATTCTCGTCGTATTAATTATCCGCAGGTGGAATGTGACAACATAAATTCATGTAAAATTCGACGAGAATATCGAATTATTTTTCACCTAAGCCTCTGGGAAAGCCGTGAAAATTGGAAATTAAAGTGTTTTTCGCTCATATCTCGCGATCCAAGTAAGATACAGGAAAAATAATTACATCATTCGATTCCTCGCAAAATTTTACATCGACGTGTATTAAATCATTTTCAAATGTCAGTGTAAAATTTTTGACAATATCAATAAAATTAAAAAATGCCGTTCGGGGAGGCCAGTAAGTTCAAAGGCGCAGAACTCCAAATTTTGCACCGACACTTGAAAATGTTTTAAAATTTTACGAGCAATCAAATGGTGTAATTAATTTTTCAGTATCTTGCTTGGATCGCGAGATACGAGCCAAAAACACTTTAATTTTCAATTTTCACGGCTTTCCCGGAGGCTTAGGTAAAAAATAATTCGATATTCGGATACCTCGTCGAATTTTCCATGAGTATAAGTTGTCACATTCCACCCGCGGATAATTAATACGACGAGAATGCATTTAATCGAGATTATTTGTATCAAACGCGTGTTAATCTCCGGGGGTACACCGCCATATTGGTGTAGCAGCTATATACATTAGACTTCGACACCCAATTGTCAACAATTTTCATGGATAAAATTAATCGATTCCTCGGTTGATAAAATAAACTTCTTTATTGTTGCATTTTTTGCATTTATGCAGTTTGAAAATTGCGAATCCGTTAGCTGATAAGCTTGTTCCGTAAAACTTTATCACCTGCAATTTAAAGCTGCAGGCACATAATTTTCAAGTTTCATTGCACATGGAATTTCGCTAAAAATCCAAAATCATATATTTTTTAATATGACTCTGGAACATAAATCGAAAAGTTCATCGATGCTACGAACACGTCTGTATACTTCGAAAACTTTCATAATCCTTGCACGCAGGAATCACATTGGAAAATATTCGGGTATACATATGGCTGGCTCGTAAAGTTGGCTCTGCGCTTGCAACACGCGCTCCGCTTTAGTTTTCACGAGTTTCGCTTACTCATTGTCCGATCGGCGCTGCGTTGTTCGATAATTAAAAAACAAAAACAAAAAAAAAAGAAGGGAAAGGAACATGAAAGGAAAAGAGCATTAAAATATAAGAGCTTATTTATAGGAGTCTAAAAGTTTTTAGTGCAGGTGCGCGTTGCAAAAATGTACACACATGCACGCTCACATACAGCCGTGGCAAGCAAAATAATATATACGTGTAATGAAAGAGCCGCGCGTGTACACACATACATTGCCGCTTGCGAGCGAATATTAGAAACAGTAGACGCGCGCCAGGTATATAGCCGCAGTATAGAGCCGATTGCACAAAACCTGCGCACTCGAGGATCGCGATATAATATAACTCGCCTGGATATATATCTGAATAAAATGCGTACATATACGTATACATATGGGCCGCATGCACCGAGCAATAAGCGTGTATATGTGTGTGTGTGTGTGTGTGTGTGTGTGTGTGTGTGTGTGTGTGCGCGCAATGCAGAGACTTTAGGCGAAGATTTACTGCGCGCGCTCTCCGAGAGCCCCAGTGACCAATCACGCCTGTATTGCAACATCCTCGAGACTTTCTCTCTCGTGATTTTAGCGTGTCGGCTGCCGCTTAACGCAACTTTGCGCCTGCCTGCCACTGGATTCTGCACCGAGCCAGTGTTACCTTACTTCGGCCCGCGTTAAATATACGCAAACACAACGTATTATACTAATAGATATTTATTGCGGGCGCGTCGTAAAAACTCATTTGCGCTGAGCTCTAATTTTCGTTCTGTATAAAAATTTCGTACGTAGAAAAAAATACCGAGTACGTAGCCGAGTATAAACTTTCGACGCTTGCGCTACTCTTAATTACCGCGAATCACGTAAGGGTAATATTCTTCTGTACAATGTATGGCATTATAATTTTTTGCTTTTCCTGCATCCGCAGCGATGCGACGCAGAGTCATCTAATTGACGTGGGTTTTTTTTCGGCGTAACGATTACCGCTGACGACTGTAACGAGTTTCGGTGACGTTAATATGCAGCTTATCGTATAAAGCACGATTGTAATGAGTAACATTGAAATAGGTATAACCTACGCACGTGACACTCTGTTTTGGTAGCAAAATCGATTTACTTGTGTATAAGCGACTTGATTATGAATTATACAGTCTATACTATAAATTTTTACTAGACTTGAGTACGTAGAATTTCTATTGTCGGTACTCGCACGATTATATTCAATTTTTTGTTCATCGAAATTTTCGGTGGATTTGAAAAAAAATGCCAATCGAGGCTGCATACGTCAATTATGTAGCAGGATGCTACAAAGAAATGTGTGCCAAACAATTATCCGTTCAACTTCTGGCACAGATCTTTTACATGCACGAAAACTCAAAAATGACGTTGCGAAATTATAATACGCACGAACAAAGTCCTTATATATTTTTGCGAATATTACGCGAATATGCTCGTGGCATTATATTATGAGGCAGATACAAAACATATATAGCTTATAATCACTCACCTTGACCGCACTTTAATGTATATACGCGCGCTTGGGTCCGGAGCAACTTTCGATTTTTAGCTATATCAGTGAGCAGGTATATGACACACAGGTGGTCTCTCTGCGCACACAGAGAACTCGTTGCTGCTGCTGTAACTGGCGAACGTGGACTGTGTCGAGTCGCTCTTTGGACCACTGAGTGTCGAAGAGTGAAGGAAAAAAGGCCGTGGAGAGTGAACGCACGGACCCCGTGCGACCGAGTGGGAAAATGCCTGGACCCCGGGTCTCTTTTACCTTCATCGAGCCCCACCAAAAATCCTTTTAAAAAGCGAAATCGCTGACCGATTCGCTTTGTGCGTATATAAAATAATATGTAACACGCAAGCCTACGTGAATCGAAGAAGGGTTGAATACACACAAGCGTTGAGCGATTTTCGACATGCTCGCGAGCGATTTCTCAAGAGAGAAAGAGAGAGAGAGAGACGGCTATTTTCCATTATATGTACATACGTTCGCGGTTCGTTGACGCCGATATGCTCGTTTGAATTCGTTTCTTTCTTTCGCGTGCAGCAGGTGTTTTGTTGATATACCCTGGCCAGCTAATCGAATTGTCGAGGAATAAATTCAGATGTATCGAGCATGAGGCATGATTTGACTTTTTTTCAAATTTTTTCCGGTTGCAAAGCGTTTGCGCGTCCCGTTCATGCATATTTCACGAGATTTAGCAAACCAAAAAGTATAAATTTACAGCGTGACCGTGTAATGCACGATATTCATTCGAATATAAAATAGAAAGTATTGTGCGACTGTGTATAAAAAAAAGAAACAGAGTTGAGTGAGTTGAGAAACTTAACAATTAACTGAAATTAATCAAAAAACACGAGAAAATAATTGCAATCGTGAAACCTCTGTTGCGTGATTTGCATTTTTTTGAATATGTCTTTTTTGCAAGAGCGGGAAAAAGACTCTTCACGCAGAGCAGTCATCAAAGAGTAATCAAAACTTTGGTCATTATAGAACCTCGGGCCGCTCATTAACGGGAGTAACAAGAGCAATCAGTCGCGCAGCTGTAACAAACACTTTTTTATTATCTTCTCTCGTACTTTTTCTTCGTCCTTGTCGAAGCTGGCACAAAAAAGTCCTATACAAAAATTTTTGCTCGCTAAGCCGTAACAGACAACGGCAATCATCATCTTGCTATCGTGAATCTATTTTGAAATGTCGCACTGCCTTTCGCATAGACGCAATTGTTTGTCAAATGTAAACCTAAACGTGCAAAAAGCAAACAAAAGTTCTGTCTCGGAAAAGCGGAAAAAAAGAAATCGACGAGCTTGACGCTCTTCGCTTTTCATTCATCGAGTTTCACTGTTATATTGTTTCACGGAAATAATCGCGTGCGTAGTTTTTTTATTGAGTTTTATAATTTGGTTAGCTTTTAGGGTTATATAAAAAAATATAATACCTGTTCGCATTCCAAAGTTATGAGGCTAGAAATAACGCACGAATTATAGCATTTCACGATCAATGGTGCATTACTGTGACAGTAAATGGCACCAAGTAAAGTTCAATGAATGAAATGACATCGTTTCAGCCGAAATAACGCACATGTGTGTTCGGATTAAATGCAACCGTTTTTTTTTATACCTTATTTGTATATTTATTGATTGATATTTAAGCAATTTAATTTTTGAGCTACGCTGTTTGAGCAATAAATCAAACAACACTGAGTACACATAAAAAATAAAAATACCATAGTACCGTAGTAAAATTTGTTAAAGCATAGTTTGTTTTTGAATTTATGTAGTTTTTTCTCTGGCATTTTTCTTAAAACATTTATTTGTTTCAATTAAATATATTTTAGTAGCAAAATACTGTATTATACTATTGTGCCCTAACGTGATGCTACTAAAACTGTCATCTCCATAAATTATATGGTTGATTGGTGTTGAAAAAAATGTAAATGATAATATTTTTTTAAAGAAATTTGAATACAAAGCATTTTTTTTTAAACTATTTTTACCAACTCGTACAGCTATAAATAGATGACTCATTTGCTCTTAGTATTGTTTTATTTTCGATCGACGAGTAGGCGCTGTAATAAAGTAGGCAACTCATGAAAAGCATCTATAGGTTTTAAAAAAGTTTCAGAGCCTGGACCGATTGCATAAAATGGAACTTGTTTGTTAACATCAGTTCGGCATGTGCCGGTAGCAAGGACCAAAGTAACATCGTCAAATACCTGGAATTTATTCAGAATTATAGAATGTTGTTAAACAATGATTATACAAACAGATTCAAGCAACAATACATTGATGACAAATAAACAATACCTGTCGATTCAATATAAATTCCAATACTATAGGAAAATCATGCGCATCGGCAGTGGCAATTATTAAATAACCACGCTTATTTGATATTGCTTTATGGTCATGAAGTAATCGATGAATGAGGTCACGAAAGCCAAAATTATAAACGGACGACCACTGCATAGGTTTTAAATTCGATAAGTCGATATCCTTAATTTTGGTCATTTCTTGTAAGAGAGCTTCGAAAAAATCGTTTTGTACATCTTTTAATGACTCAGATGCATCTATAGTGAAATGGAAATGATTTATTCAAATTCATTTACTTTCTAAATGAAAAATTTAACTTTGTTTTTTTATACCGATGATTTGGTGCTGTGACGCACGATTTTGGTGTATTTTCTTGGAATTGGCAATATCAGAATTTTCTGCGGTAACTTCATACAATACACCTTTATTATAAGTGATTTATTAGTGTAATTTATCAATTAAAAATTCATACAAAAATGTAATATTAATCAAGCCATTTTACTTGTTGCCATTCCTTTTGAGTTTTGAGCCCATGATAGCAATGAATTCACGTTATTTTTCAATAAATTTTCACAGCTACAATTTCTAGACTTTTTTGAGCAGCTCTGTGAATTACAGTTTATACATTTTCTTCCGATACGAACAATTTTAAAAAGACATAGACAGAGATATTTTGACTAAAACCTGTAAAGATCCTTGGATTGGAAATACATCTTGTATTTTCTGCATCATTTTTTCTGTATATGACAACAGCTCAACATTTTTGACAAAGAATAAAATGGCGTTAAAAGGTACTCTTTCTCGCGCTAATTTATTTGAATTTTGCCTAATTAATCTTACAAATGGAAATGTAGAATTATTATTAATATTGGCAGATTGCCTGCAACAACATAAAAGATTTTGAAATATATTCTTACTGAACGGTAGCAAGAACGCATTCATTTTATTTTATAATTTTGCTATGCTAACCTTTCATTTGATGCGAATTCTGTAAATACTGTTGGGTTATTGCGTTTCATTACTTTAACATCTGAAATAATGTACCCAATCAAACGATTAATGCTTAAATATATTCATATAAAATTTAGCAGAATAAATCATTTACCGAAAAAATCAGTTTTATTCATAAAACCACAGCTATTCGATGCAAACCAAAATAACGGAAAAAAGATTAACAATTTTTTCGAAATTATCATTTTCAATGCCAATGTATTCTTGCAAAAATCAATCTTTAATTCTCAACAGCATAGGAACAGTAAAATGATTTTAATTCGTTAAAAATTGATATCAAGTTCTCTAAAATGAGATCATGCGCAATCGGGAAACAATTTTCTTCATAAATAATGATGTGAAACTATATAGGTAAATAAATGGTTACTAAGTAACTAATAGTTATTATTTATTGCTTTATTTGTTGAATTTTTTGTGAATAAAATAAAATTGCTTGCATTATAACATGAAATTTTTAAACTTGGATCAATAATCATTCTGACATTGATTCATTTATTTATGAAAAATTGAAAAAATAAAATTTTACAATATTTAATCGACAGAAAAAGTTTTCTGCTTGGAACTCGACATTTGAAAGCGCAGGTAAAATAAAATCATTTCATTTGTTATTTTGATGAATACTCTTTATAACTTTTGTCATTCTCATAAACTTCCAAGTAAGCAGTTGTACTTTTAATGCGCAACTGTAATGTTTTTTAAGAGACATATGAATCGAAAAACTCGCGTTATTCGCGTTTGTTTCTATCGATGTAACTTATAGACCCATCAAAGTTATATATCGTCGCCTTTTGCAGGTGGGTATCTTATAGACGATGAATTATTGATGGGCCTCGCTTGGGGGCAAGTTTAGCTCACAGCTGTGTACAACAGGGGTGTGGGTGTGTGTTTGCGTGTAAAGTACGTGTATAGATAACAACCGGTCGACGGTAGCTAACGATTGGTCCACGTTTGGCCTCAGTGGTCATAGAGTCGCGCACACACGGACCTTAGAGACTTTCTTTACGGTCACCAACGATCGGCGGGCTTAGTCGAGTAGCGACGAGCCATGCATTAGCGCAAAATCGCGCAATGTATGCCATCACCCTTTAAAGCTTGTCACAGTTTTGCAAAATTGGCATCAAGTGATTAACAGCTAACGAAGATTAACATAATTTTTATATCTCCTCGAGTGTGGTCTAATTAATCAGCAAGGTAGGATCAACTTATAATTAATTATAATCGTGGCGTTGCATTATTTTGTTTTTCCCTCGAGGAAACTTGCTTCCGTGTTCGTGTTTGAGTGATGATTTTTTTGTGAACTAAGTTTTTCAAAAATTACTGCAAGATATTTTTTTGGTGTTTTAAATTTGTTTAAAAGGTAAGACCAAATACCAACTTTCAAAAATCTAAAATTTCAAGAGGTAGAAACTGAAAACTGACTGTTTGGTTTTCATGGATTAAATTTTTCTAATCATTAACATTTTTCACCTAATAAAATCCAGTTCTTACTTAGTTCTGGTAATAATTACTATGGAAATAAATCGGCTTTAAATATTTTTAACGGTTGGCTATTGCAAAAAATGTGAATAATACAGCGAAGTAATAGAGCGCGAAAGTGTTAACCATCTAATCGTCACAATTTATTCATCTTCAGATGATGAAAATGAAGCAACAGGGTTTGGTAGCAGACCTGCTACCAAACATACGAGTGATGCAATTTTCTGGTCACTTCATGTTCAATTATTACAACGAAGGACTGAAGTTTCCCCATAGAGTATTTTGCATCGTAAGTTTCGAATCTTCCAACACGATAAATTTTCTACGGAGCAGCATCAAGTCCAATTTTTATTTTAGGTCTCGTTTCTTCTCATACTCGTCCAATACTCGATGATGGGTATAAATTTGGCAATGGAGGTCGGCGATCCCGACGACATGGCTGCCAACACCATCACCATGCTCTTCTTCATCCATCCGATCGTCAAAACGATCTACTTTGCCGCGAGGAGCAAGACGTTCTACAAGACTCTGGGCATCTGGAACAATCCGAACACACATCCGCTGTTCGCCGAGAGCGACGCGCACTACCACTCGGTGGCCGTCCAGAAGATGAGGAAGCTGGCCACCTTCGTCGGGGCTGCTACGATATTCACCCTGTTCGCTTGGACGACCATCACGTTCTTCGAGGACTCGGTCAAGACCGTCGTCGACAAGGAGACGAACGAAACAACCATCATACCGGTACGTGCGGGCATGTCACACCTGTTTCTAAACTGTTTTACTCAACGGTTGCGACAAATATTTAATTCAGATACCGAGACTGCCTATTCGGGCCTGGTATCCGTTCAACTCAATGAAAGGTTTCGGTCACATCATGGCCTTCGTCTATCAATTCTACTACCTCGCCATGTGTCTCACCCTCTCGATCTCTGTGGACGTTCTATTCTGCTCGTGGCTGATCTTCGCCTGCGAGCAAATCATGCATCTGAAAGCCATAATGAAGCCGCTCATGGAGCTCAGCGCGACACTCGACACGGTCGTGCCCAACAGCGGTGACCTCTTCAAGGTAACTTATGCATTATATTTTGCGTTGCGTGAACTTGCACCTTTTTAAAGTCGCATATAAGATAATGTAAGGGCAAGGTTCAAGAAGTTAACTGCACGTAGGTCAAATTCAATTGTACGATCAAAAGGCCAAGTGCGGCTTTATCAGCGCGCGAAAGCTTTGTGTCGCCACGCACAAAAGACGGCATTGAACGAGCATGAATAACTCGGATTTTTTGCGTGTTTATGCGTATATGTTAATATGCGAAGGCGGGTAGCGACGATCATCTGAGGGACACTAACGGGGTCCAGCCAGCCGGCGACGGAATCGTCGACAGCGACGTGCGAGGAATCTACAGCAACCGACAGGACTTCACGGCGACCTTCAGACCTACCGCGGGTACCAATTTCAATGGCAACGTCGGACCCAATGGCCTTACCAAAAAGCAGGAAATGCTCGTGCGTAGCGCCATCAAGTACTGGGTCGAGCGCCACAAGCACGTCGTCAAGTAAGCAAAACCCCTTTCTCTCATTACTATATTTAGCTCAACTAGATTAATGATTTTTCACTAAAGCAACTATGTCCGCGCCGTATGTTCATATGCAATTAGAGGGGGTTCCTTGGTCTCGTTGGAAATAGTCAAGAAATGCTGCTTAAGCTCGCATCAATTACCGTACAATAATGTCCCTGAACTAATTATCGAGTTTCGATGCGTGTACATAAGTTGATGAAAAGTCTTGTTTTGTTTCGCGCGACAGTACTAATGCGATCGGAGTATTCACAATAATTAATCTATTTTCTCTAATGATCGGCTCCCATTGTGTACTCGTCGATGACGAGTCCAACTTGAGCGCGTTCTGAACATAAATCAACCGAAAATAGCAAGCAAGCATGGGGGCTGGCATCTACCATGTCGAGCTAATTGCGCGACAAACAGTCCTTGTTACGTAGTTTGTTCGAGAAATGTTCTCTTCTTTAGGTAGATTCAAAACATTATTGACTCGTTCGATGCATAATTGAACGGGACTGCCTACGCTCGAGTCTATGCTGTTTTACGCATCATTATTTCCCCTCGGAAACTCGTTCAAATATGCATTACGCACTTTGTATGTATATTATAGCCCGTCTTTACATCGTGCCGCGGTGCACGTCGAGTGCAATACCGATCGACGAGCGATGGGCAAAAAAAATTTTCCGCTCGTGTTTAGTTAAAAATAAGACACCACAGACAATCGATGCTGAAATCATCCGCCATGTATTTTCATGCTAACTCATTTTAAATGATTGATAAATTTCAATAATGTACATTTAATTGAACGTCGCTCCGAGGCACTCCAAGTCTCGCGAAACGAGAAAACGACAATGAGTATTCGCGAGCGATAAAAATGCAAAGTTTTAAAAAGCATCGCGCAGTACTATCTTCTTGCCGCCCAAGCAGTTATCCATATCACTTTACACGCGATCGAGCGTATACACATCCTTGCCTATTTCACACACAGTCGAGTATTTATATACATCGAGATTTACATACTAGTTTTGAGCTTTGCCTCGTGCGAATGTACCGGACTTTTTTTCATCGACTTACGCTAACATCGATCGATATCGATACACTCAAAGCTTGTGTGTCCGTATTTTGTCGTGAATATAATGGCAGGTTTGCTCGTCGCTTGGGCTTTATATTCAATGATATCGCGCGACAATGCGTTCGCGTCAAAGTTCGATCATTTCTATGGACTGAATAATTCAGGCGGTCACCCGGGGAAATTAGCTATTAATTTTGCTGACGACGGATTTAAAACTTTTTCGTACTTACGCTCTGTTATTGGTTTGAATCTATATAAAATGACGTCAATTTTAAACTACAAAACGTTAATTACTTAACTTCGTTTTTTTATTCTTTATTGTTCTTTTTAAATTTTTGTTCTTTCTAAAAATGACGTTTATCGCGTCGTTGAAAAATCGATTTATCATAAATTCATCAATGTCATGGATTATAAAAATAAGGATGTTCTTTTTTTTATTGATTCTTATAAATAAATTGATAATCCATCATCGTTCCAGACTTGTTACTGCGATCGGAGACACATACGGTGTTGCTCTGCTCCTTCACATGTTGGCAACCACCATCACTCTGACTTTGCTAGCTTATCAGGCTACAAAGGTAGGTAGATGTTTCTTTCTGAAATAACGAAGTGTTTTACATGAATCGTTCAATTTATTTTTTAGATCAACGGAGTAAACCCCTACGGAGCTACTGTAATAGGCTACTTACTTTACACGCTCGGTCAAGTATTTCACTTTTGTATCTTCGGAAATCGGCTTATTGAAGAGGTGTGCGCACATTGAATTTTAATTCGTTTGGCATCGATAACGTTTTATCTCTTTTTCCTCAACAGAGCTCATCTGTCATGGAAGCCGCTTATTCATGCCATTGGTATGATGGATCCGAGGAAGCCAAAACGTTTGTGCAAATTGTGTGCCAGCAATGCCAGAAGGCTATGTCCATTTCAGGGGCCAAATTCTTCACTGTATCGCTCGATTTGTTCGCTTCGGTAAGCATTTGATAATCCAATTTTTAACGAAAGAGAGCTTTGAAAAGCTCCTTTTAGCAATGCACTCGCGAATAAATCGTTTGTGAATGAAACCGTCCAGCTACAAATTAATGCAAATTGTCTAACAATCATTTATCTGTGTCTCGTCGTCTTAATTTTAATGGAATTGCCTTGTTTCTGTGAAGGTCCTTGGAGCCGTGGTTACTTACTTCATGGTGCTGGTACAGCTGAAGTAAACTCGAAATTTACTTGGAAAACTCGAGTCAACGTATTACGGTCCGCTTTCGAAATTTGCATCAGTATTCGCTATTCATCATCTATAGAACGCAAAGTTCTTGTGAAAGTGCGCGCAGTTTTCAGCAGTTCAAGCGAAAATTTCTTATACTGAGATCATTAGCTGAAAAACTAAGTATCATCTCTTCATAATCTCTGTACTTCTTGAATGGAAGACAGTTCATCCATTTATTTGCAGTTAATTTATTTTTTTATTTTCTATTCTAAGGTAATTTCATTAATCACTATTTTATTAAATATTTTTGGTATAATTTTTTTTCCAAGTAATTTTTCATTAAATAAAAAATTAAACTTGAAATGCTAGTTTATCATTTCTGAGGGTATTTGTATTTTATTTATCTAAAATTTTTTAGTTTATTACTTTACCTATTTTTTATTAAGCTTAAAAAAGTCAAAGATTTTGTAATTTATTTACTAAATTCAAATATCTCTAGGATAAATAGTCTTGGTCAACAACTTTGCTATTATATACCTTTTAGTTTAAAATTATTCACTTAGAAAAACTGGGGAATCTATATACGCTCTAAAAACCAAGATGATAATATATACGTTTATAAAAAAGAATAAATTTATAAAAAAAAACTTCAAAAAGTAATAGCTACACTGATCACACTTCGTTACAAATTTTTTAAATAAACTCGAGTAAACATAACTAAAAACACTGTTTAATTTTTATGATAATTATAATGAATGTGTAAAAAACAACACAAAACAATTTACGTGCATAGATCAGCTGTAGTTCAATAAGTGAGCTAGAGCGTTATTTAAATTACATAATTTCTACGAAATAATACAATAATTTTTCTCGAAATTGATCAAAAAAAGTTTCTTGAAGCTCTGACGCATTAATTGAAGAAGATAGTTTTGCAGTATTATTTTTCCACATAAAATATTCTTACAAAATTAGTTAAGGGTAGTCATACACCAATTCACTCATTTTTGTCATTTTTGTAATATAAACCACAGTTTAATGTCAATCTACATTTTCAACATAAAATTGACATCTTTGAGCCCTAAAAATTGGGAAAAAAGTTGCAGAATAGTCCTTTGCATCTTAACATAGCTTATTTTTGCTATTTTAGCCTTTCGGCACTGTGGATAAGGATAGTGGATAAGGATAGACTCTTTGCCAATAGGAATTGGCAAAGAGCAGTGAATCGGTGTATGACTCCCCTTAATGTACCTCATTTTTGGTTAAGAAGCTAATTTTTTTTAAATATCAATGTATAACAATTATTTTCACTGTAAATATGACGCAATAATATTTGGTAACTTGTAATGCGATGGCTTATTTTTATAAATAATCAAGTCAATTTGTTTGAATAATACTTAACTGCTTGAAACTATTATGTTTAAGAAATGAAAATATATAATAAGGTCTATCACGATGAACTTTGCTTAAATAACAATAATGCATCTGTGATCACAATGTATAGAGATCGTTTTCCATACTATCATTAGACCTATAGCATCGAGTCAGATAATTCTCTGGGACAAATTGAATTATTATTTGAGAAAGTGTTATTGCATGGTTTTAGATATGTTTTATTACTATTTTAAAGATTGATAAATATGAAATTACGTATATGCCATACAATAAAAAAACGATATCGGATTTCGGGATAATTGAAACTTAATTTAATCTTTAGAATTCCATTAATTATTCACAATTTAAAAAATATTATCTAAAATAAAGTTTTGATATATTAAGTCGTACAAAAATAATTGCTTAAGAGGATGGGTTTATTATTTTTTCAATTGTAATATATTAGTAAAGTAGAAAGTTTGTAAATATTTTTCTTAAGAGAGTGTCAGTTCGGCTGCCAAAGTATGCGAACATAACTTATAGGTAAAGGTATAAATAACGTAGCATTTAGGTATACATAGATAAGATCATTTTGCCGCCTAATAGACTCTCTTTTTTCAATACTATGAGTTTGATTAAATTTTTCTTCATTCATTTTAAAGTTTAGTAACGTGAAATATAATCTATAAATCTTAGTCACTGCACTAACTTTTTCTTTAAAAACCTATCTTCTTAAGAATATTTTTGGGCCAATGAAAGAGTCTAAATATAAGTAAAAAGTTTAATACGACAACTCAATTATTCAAATTGTTATAAAATTTCCAGAGTTTTTATTCTACGATACTTAGAAGAGAAATGATATTTATTATTACACATTCCCAGATATTTTATTTTACCATGAAGGATTGTGTTTTTAAAACATATCCTTTTTTTCATTCTATAAGTTTCATAGATTTATGATTGTAAGACGTATGGTTTTTTTAAAAAACTTTTTCTATCATTTCTTTTTATATCAAAAAAAATCTAATAAGTTACTATTACTGTATTTCATAGTTTACAGCAAAAAAAAAAAAACAAATTCGATTCGATAGCGAATTGACACTGTAAAATTCAACGTTATTTCCTTAATAAAAAACAATAAAATATTCTCTCCAAGTTGTCTGTGAACCTTTTGAAAAAAAACTAAAACTCTCATACATATACTATTGGCAAAGGGGGAAGGGGAGGTATTTCCAACCACGAGGCGCACTGCTCTGTTCGACTGTGCATAAAGCTCGCAAGTATATGATCTTCCAATCGATTGTTTCGCGCGAAAGCGTCGGAAGCAGTATCGGCTCTATACTTATACGTAAATACATGAACACATACACGCACACACAGTGGCATATAGGAGTAGTAGCACATTTCCAGTTCAAAGCGCTCCGTAGCAGCGGTAGCAGTAGCAGTAGCAGCAGCAGCGCAGAGCAGCATCCAAACTGACGCATGCGTCGGGTCCAGCGCGAGAGCGAGAGCCGAAGCTCCATCGCAGTGTGTGTGCGTGTGTCTCTATGTACGTGTGTAAGGCTAGCGCTGGAGCTTGCGCGGAAGGGGGTGAACTTCGATCGTCTCCACGGGGGTTGGCCGCGTTAGGTTGGTCGTTTTGGCTTTGCTAGCGTGCTGCTGCGCGCCGCGCGATGCTGCTGCTGCTGCTGCTGCCACGCACACGTACACGGACACGGGCACACAGACATAGAGAGCAGAAAACTAGCGTACACCTACACAGACAAACACGTACGTGAAAACTATCCTTGTCAACGCAGTCAGTGCCGCCAGCTCAGCCATAATAGCTCGCACTCCAATACACTTGCGCGCGAGGCTGTACCGAGGGGCGAAGAAAAAAAGAGGAAGAAGAAATCAGCCTACGACGCGACGCGCGAGGCCCCCGTGAGTGTGTGCAAGCTCGGCTGCTGCTGTTTTTCTCGCGAGTCGCGAGGCGTGCAGTAGTAGTATACGTGCAGTGCATTGCAGCGTAGTGCGTGTCGGAGGTGCGTGTGACTCTGCCGTTGTTTTTTTTTTTTGGCGTTGACCCGCGAGGACGCGCATGTTCGAGGCAGATAATAATAATAGGCTGCCTGCGACGATCAGCCACGGAACGAGGAGGCGTCGCGCGTAAATCGAGCCCGGACCACAGGCAGAAGGGATGATCTGTTGCTGCTGTCGCAACTGCCTGAATTCCACGAGACGACGAGGACGGGTGGCGAAGCCGAGCCTCCGCCGCAGCCCGGGTCCAGCTGCTGCGCCGCCCTTCTGCCGCCGACCCGGGCCTACCTACTCCATTGGCAGATCTACGTCGCTGCGTCGCGTAGTACAGCGCGAGGGTGCCGATGTCTGAAGACTCCATCCTCGCAATTAACGCCATCGGTGTCTCTATACTTTTTTCCGTTTCTTATCGAAGCCTGCAAGCTCTCGTAAGTGATTCATTGCATGTAGCTTGTAATTTTCGTGCGCGCGTCGGTATCTCCGGATTTTTCGTCAGCTATATATAGACGTATATGTACGAGTACGCTATATGTATACGCTACTACGAATGCTACAGGAGAGCTATTATTGCTGGCTGTATGCGCACTAGTGCACTGATTTCTTTTTACTCAGCTGCACATCGTTGAACTTTCTATACCGCATCAAATGAACGATATTTTGCATACGTATACTTGTTACTGGTTATTGCCGTTGTTATAAAAATAAGGAAAAAAGCTTGTTGCAATTGATACACGCATATTATTCACGTTATTGTTGCTGTTTGACGATTACGACTATAGATTTGAGAGAAGGAAGACAGATAATTTCGACGCGAGACAATACACACGTGTGGAAGGATATATATTACAAAGCAATCAATTTTTTCTCAACCGACTGTTTGTGCCCTGCAAGAAAAAAAAGCAAATTTTGTAGATTATAGATGTGATTTTATAAAGGAGAATAAACGAGAGAGATACAAGCTGCGCGAGAGAACGTCGACGACGATGCTGGGAGCTTCGCGACTCGCTGGAAGGTTAGGAAACGTGTTTCTACTACCGCTGCTGATGCTGCTGCAGCCGCTGCGTCTCGTCGTCGCCGCTGCCGAGCTTTGAAGGACCCGCGCATGCAGCAGGGTCTACTGTACCTCCGGACAGCTGGGGGCCCAACTCCAGCTACGCAGTCACCATAGGGACTAGACCTGCGAGCGGCTGGAGGAGGAAAAGCCTCCAACCGCTTAGACAATGCCGTAAGTACATGTCATGAGCTTCTTTTATTTTTTGCGTCAATTATTTTTTTCTCTCTCGGTGAAAACTAAAAAAACCCTTGGCTCCATAGTTGATCGAAGGTATAGTGAAAAAAAAGCAGCTGCTTTTTTCATTCGACGCCTGCCGTGTAATATATCGAAGAGTCGAGGCACTCAGACTCTTTGTTTATCCAGAGCACGTTCTCAGTCAAGGAGGTAGTTTATATTTCAACGACCGATTATACCTTCTGTTTTCTTGAATCATATATTATACTTTTCTCTATCCTTGAAAATCCCTTAGGACTCGTAATGTTGTACCAAAATATTTATATACACACCGTTGCCGCGTGCCAGTCTCGTAATGATAGTTTCGACGCTCTCCAGGAGGAATACTTGGACAATCGATGCAATCGATTATTAGGCACTTTTGTGCTTTTGTAAGCTAATTTTTCAAGCTTCGTACGAGAGCCCATTGACACGCCGCGATGCTGCTTTAATTAACTCTTAACCAGTTAGTCAAGTAGGTCATTTAGAATTTATAAGCTCGTGTGATCACAGGCTATTTTTCTGCGAAATTTATGAATTATTTTCGATGCAATTGTTACCATTTTAATACTTGAACGGATACTTTAGATTAAACAGCTTAATGAGCAGCTTCATTTATGATATAATCAATGAAAATGCATTCTAGTTGTCATATCAAGTTTCAAATTTATTCAATTATTTGTTTCATTAGAATATTCAAATGAAAATTAAAAGGCAAACAATCGTGTATATGAATACATTACGTACATTCAAGCGTAATAAGCAAAATAAATACATAATAACAAGTAGTACTCTTGTTAAATCGATCCAATGAATATTATATCAATTTTGTTTCGATGAAAAACGAGTAACAAAAGAAGGTGTTGCAGCATATAGCGAACATTACGAAGCTAGAATAGATGCTGCATAGGGTGAAAATATACTGAGGCACAGTTGAAAAGTGCACAGCTCGGCACTTTTAGCTCCGAGGTGACTGCGCAAAAAAGACGTTAAGATGAATTGGGGAAAGAGTAGGCTAGAGCAAGAGAAAGAGAGAATGAGTGAGAGAAAAAAAGAATATGATAAAAGCTTTAAGCAAGCACCACACTTTATACAGGCGCTGTACAGTTGACACTCGACCAACGGCGAATATGCGCCTGAATCTTAATGTTTGTACGATGATCTGCGCATTTTCAGAGCGCTCGGCCTTCGATACAACCAATTGGATCGAGTTGACTGGTTTATTTATTTTCTCTCTCTCAATTAACACATTTGCTATTGATTGTTGCAGTTGTTATTACGGCAGATGCGCGCTAAAGTTAAATAAAAGCTCGGGGCCGCCGATCGACTGCACAGGGGCAGAGAATTGTAATTAAAAAAGTTCACGGGGCAACTTTTAAAAATTCCGTCATTTTGAAAATGAAGAAAAATGCAAATTTCGTGCCAACTCCGCTGCTACTTACTGCTTTCGGAAGAAGTAAAGCAACATCAGCTTTCTAAAAGACATTTACCAAGTTCATTATACGGACACAGAGCCAGTTCATAAAAGACCAAAGTAATAATGCGAAAAGTATAAAATGCGTCCATTGACCTGATCTTCGCGTAAACGTCGCGCTGCCACTGTCGCTGCTGCTGCTGCCACTACATGCATACGGCACACATGCACAGACTGCACAGTGCTCCGCGCGCAACGGAGCTTGCGCCGTGGGGAGCTTGCGCGCGAATACCCATATACGCGCGCGTCGAGATTGCAAGTCGCAGCGGCATACATGCGCGGCACGATGGTACGGCGGACCCGCAAGCAGCAGCAGCAGCAGAGAAGGGGTTGTTGGTTGGAGAGTGCAGCAGAGCGCCGCGAAAGATACTTTTTCGTGGCACCAGTCTACCGGCAAAACTCCCGGTGCGTGCACACGGGTCCTGTACGACTGTGTCCGTGTCCTATGTGTGTGAAATATACTGCTCCTTTTGCTCTCTTGCGTGCCGACTGCACGTTGCAAGGGAAAATTTATAACACCCGCGGCTACGTTATGAATTCCTCAGCTCGTAAACATCTTCTTGCAAGAGTTTCAATTTTATTCTGTGTCTTTCAAAGTGAATAGTGCCGTGCTTCTTCTTTCTTCTTCTTCTTCTTCTTCTTCTGTGTATGCTGCGTGTGCTACTCGGCACAGTGCGCGATGAAAGCCGAGTAGAGGAGAAAAGTTTTTTGCTGTGCTTCGGTCCGCAGTGTGCCCAGTGTGCAGTGAGATAATTAGAATTGATAACCCAGTACAGATGTGCTTTGTGAAAACAAAAGAAATGCATCGGAATTGAAGACAACAAAATCTGTGCGCTTTTCATTCTGCACGCACACGATGTCGGAAGTGATGCAAAATGGTATTTATCAAAACAAAGTTGAAACACATGCATCAACTCTTTTGCGAATCTTTTTTTTTTTCAAATTTTTTTAAAGCTCGGCAAAAATTCGTTCGAGAGAGCTTTTCGACGTGGCTTTTTGTGACTTTTCATTTTTACGATGACCAGATTTGAATAAATCAGAGAAATCACGAACAGCTGTCGGTTACGAATCGAACAGAAAGAGATTGCTCAGTTATCGATTCGCAGTTAAATATTAAAAATCCACGACTTTTTTATTTGCCTATTGGTTTTCGTTAATTTATGGACTGGAAAAATGTTAAAATTATAGATAGTATAATGATAAAATTAGTGCACCGTGGATGCGTTGTTTTTCACATCAGTCAATGAAAACTTTTTCACGGTGATATCTTGACAATGAAATTGTACTCGGTTGCTGTTCAAATTTTTCGAAACTTCGACTCGTCATGACTTGTCCGTGGAGTCTTAAACTTTGCAAGCTCGAGCTGCAAGCTAAATCTTATTTACGATGATTTTAAGCTACGTGCAAAACTACGACTCTTTGCGTTTGACATGTTTACGAGAGTTAAAAAAAATACCAAAGACGGAAGAATATATCCCATACGGGGGAGGAGGTAAAACTCGCGCTTTACAAAGTAACACGAAAAATCACCTCGAAAAGCTCAGAGTGCACGTCCACGGGCACGTACACGCGCTTCATGCCTCGCGTCAGAGTTTGATGCATTATATGTGTGTACGTAAAAACCACACAGGCTTCAAAGTCCAGCGTATATATCACGAGGTGTGCATGTAGTTTGTTAATAGCGGAAAAATAACATCGGTCTTGGATCGAGGAGTACAGCAGTTTCAGCCAGTATCGACGGGCGTGTGGTTCCTTTCATCCCTGTCCTTCGTCACACGGGCCAATGAATTATTAAATGGACACTGGATGGACGACCATCTTGCCACCGAGAAGAGCTTTACCTTTCCGCAGACGCTCGTTGCCACTAAAAATCTGCTGGGTAAAGAGAGACTTTTATTTCCACTGTCTGTGTGTGTGTGTGTGTTTGTGTAATTTTAATTCCTTTTATCCGATTATAGTTGCGCTTGTACACATGCCGACGTAACGGTATACAAACGATGCGTACTTTGAAGCTGCAGCGAGCTGTGAAAATATATTTAAAAGCTAGTATGTGTACGTACGCGGCATGCCACGTTCAAGATAAGTGCCCCCATGGATTTCCATATGCTCTCAAAGTTCGAGGAGTGCCCATTTGTTAGAGATGATGAATAAGATGTTCTTTTTTTTCACTTAAAAAATTGGTTTTAGCACTTGGGGTGTCGAAAAATGATAGATCGTTATAGCTGTGCGCGCGACAGGCGTCAATCAGAATGAAAAATGCCACGCTAAAATGTACATTAAGTATATTGCATGCGAATTTCATAAAAAATCATGCGTACTTCTCAAGTAAATTTGAAATGCGTTAACAATGTTTCAACGAAGAATAATTCGTGAAATGGTTTAAAAATTTCGCATTTCTTGAAGTTTTTTATTTCGCATTCCCGAGCATGTTGCAAGCTTTCGTTGCGTCGACTTGCAGCTTAGTCCATAATTGTGAAAAGATTTCATTTTTTTAATTGATCGCGTCTTATTATTCTTTCATCGTGTGAAAAAGAAATTGAGAGACTCGATTAAAGTCTCATTGAACCCTTTATTAAAATGCAATGCATTAATAATGCTGGGTAATTGGATGAAGCTTCTTGATTCTTCTTTATTGGAAATTGCTTTTACGCAAATCAAAACCAATTAAAATAGGTATCTTTAAAAAATTTACTCTTTGAATTTCAGTAAAAAAAACTTTCTGGTGTATTGGGTTTTTAATATAAAAAATCGTCGATCGGAATCTTATTTAAATGTAATTACATTTTCAGAGAATACTGAACGTTTTTATGCATCAATTAATCGATTTCAACTCTTTTCCTTTCAGAATTAGACCTCGATTATTTCGAACGGCGTGGAGCTGACGGATGCGAGCCTGAAATCACAAGCTCAGCGAGTAAAGAAGAAGACAGTCCGGCTGACACTCTTGAGCGGGTTAAGATTATTTTTCTTGGTGCCAACGGAGTGGGCAAGACCAGCATCATTCGCGTAAGTGCAAATTAGTCTCATTAAAATAAGTCACATTAGCTCGAGAAATTCGACTGGGCCCTAAAAGATTCGCAACTGCGCACGATTTCTATCCCTCGAGCCACGATATAAAAGTATCTCTAGCTATATACAATGACAATCAGTTACTTCTGAAAATAGGATATCGACTCGAGACCTCCTGATTGAGGAGGAGCGAAAAAAAGACCTTTGACTTTGACCCGCGTGTATATAAAGTCAATAGGATTTGTGATAAAAGTTTGATTTCGTTTTATTTTTGCTAGAGCTCAATCAACTCGATTCTTTGAACATCGCGTCCGGCAATTAAGCCAATGACAATCCTCCCCAATGACTTCTCATAGTTTCTTCACGAGTCGATCTTTTCTCCCTCCTTATCAAATTTACTCAATTTATGGCGCAAATACGGTGATATTGCACGGTGTCGATGGCACGTCGAAAATATCATTTTCGAGACTGATACAGCGGGACGCGCGAGAGTTCTCGTTAAAGAGAAAAAAATCCCATTTTCGTGGCAGATGAGATATGCATCGAGTTAAATTTTTTTTCTCCTTTATCGCGAAAAAAAGAAGCCCCCGATGTTGAGAAATAATCGGAAATCGTTCGTTTCCCCGTAAAACGGATTTTCTATATGAGATTGTCTCCTTCTTTTCTTTATTTATATGACCCAAGGAATATGGAGCAGGTGGCGATATCGATATAAGCCTTTAGACACTCTGGCCACCGGGCAATGAGCTTGCGGAAAAGCTCGTCTTTGCCTTACTAAATTTAATCAAGCATGAAACCTATCTCGAGGAGACTTTTTTACCGCTCGTCGTTACACGGCAAATATATACGTTTTCGGTCTGTATTTTTTTACACATTTTTTCCGTATAAATGCACACATACGCTGCTGACGCTCTGCAGACGTTCCTTCCTTCATTGCAAGACAAACAAAAAAAAATCAAACTTTTTTTCTCCCGTCACATATACACATGTGATATTCTTTATGCAAACGTCTGGCGCGCATATTTTTTTCAACGGCGCATGAAAGACGTTTTTTCATACTCAAAGGATTTTTTTCCTGCCATACGAAAGCACAATTCCAGAAATCATGTCGTATAATTTTCTCATATATACGTTACCGCTCTATTTTGACGGTACGTTCCTCGCTTTTTCGATAAAATATCAAAGCGCGAGCTAAAATGTATGAAATATTTTTAACTCGGATATATGGAGCGCTCAATAAATTAACCATGAGTTTAAGTACACACACACGGCGCGTAGTACGAAGCCCGAAGTAATTGAGACGTCAAACAATGAGTTCGCACTCTCCGGGATTTTGACATGCAAGCTGGGAACGCCCGGCCGGCCGCCCGCGCGCACAGCAGCGCAGCACTGCCAGTCGTCCACAGCCCCCCCGGTCACCTTGACATTCGGGCGCGCGCGCGGAAATGTAATTATCGCCGAGTAAATTTAATACCTGTGCGCGGCGCTCGTACACTGGAGCTCCTAACTCACAGCTTGAATGAGCGAATTATTTCTGCTGCGATCTCAAATTGACTCTCTGTTCGCGTGGTAGACGTTCGTCTTAATCCGCTTCTACACACAGAAATTACAGGCGTGTATAGAGAGAGAGTCGAGTTTCCCTCGAGGCAGCCGCATGCAGAACTGCATACATACATCCGAGAGAGCGCGAGAGGGTTTATATATACACGTAGTCCTGTGCATAGAACATGTAGGCACACAGTATATCCTGCCAAAGTTTGTGTATATATACGGGCGCGCGTGGACCAACTGACTTTACCTGATCAGACTGTACACATGCACACACAGAGCAGCAGAGCTATAGAGCTGCATGATGTCGATGCTGCTGCGGCATATAAACGTCGCGCACATATATGAGTCATTTCACGTCAAGTCTCCTAGCGCGGCGCCCGCGCGGCATTATTAATCGAAATTGTTCAATTTGTAACTCGCCAGAAAAGCACCTAAATGCACCCAGAAAAAATATGTGCCACATGATTTTGATAGGAAATTTCCTCAGCTTTCCGATGATGAGGCCAGATTTTCCAAAATTTTCCATTTTCCCCGGAAAAACTTGACATAAACTTTCAAACTCAAATATTTCAAAAACGGCATTTTTAAGATTTTTTTAAATAGTGCCAATCGAAAGCTGAGGAAATTTCCTATCGATATGCAAGTTTTCAGAGAGTACTTTTGATAATTACTCAATGAAATACAGCGACGAACGTGTAAAAACGTGAGATTTTGCGCCGCGCGGGGTACTGCGCGCGGGAACAGCTGCCGCACGGGCCGAAATGTCACGTTTTTACACGTTCGTCGCTGTATTTCATTGAGTAATTATCAAAAGTACTCTCTGAAAACTTGCATATCGATAGGAAATTTCCTCAGCTTTCGATTGGCACTATTTAAAAAAATCTTAAAAATGCCGTTTTTGAGATATTTGAGTTTGAAAGTTTATGTCAAGTTTTTCCGAGGAAAATGGAAAATTTTGGAAAATCTGGCCTCATCATCAGAAAGCTGAGGAAATTTCCTATCAAAATCATGTGGCACATATTTTTTCTGGGTGCATTTAGGTGCTTTTCTGGCGAGTTACAAATTGAACAATTTCGATTAATAATGCCGCGCGGGCGCCGCGCTAGGAGACTTGACGTGAAATGACTCATATATACATCTATGCACGCATAGAGCACATAGACAAGAGAGCTGGTGCCGCTGCTGCTGGCAGTAAAATCAATTATCGATTTGCAGCAATTTGTCTGGAACGAATTCTCGGAGGATTACAGGCCGACCGAGCGCCGCGAGACTTACTATCCGAGCGTCGTGCTGGCCGAGCGCATGTACGAGCTGAAAATCTCAGATCTGCCCACCATACCGTATTTCCCGGTCAGCTCGCATCTGGAATGGACCGATTTCCGTTATTATGGACTGCGCAGCGCCACGGCTTACGTTCTCGTTTACGATCTCAGCAATCAAGAAACCTTTCAGGTATGACCTCTACGTATACCTATATATATATGTATATACATGCTGCATGTAATAATGCCAAATAATGAAGACGTGGAAATGGCATCGATTCATTATTGACATTTGTAGTGCTTCACATGGAGTTTCGATTAATTGTAGGAAGTTTTACAAATTCTCTTTGATACGCGATTGAAAAATTGATTCTCTTTCTCTGTGTGAGTCGACGCAGCGATATAGCGCTCAGATCTGGAGAAATAGAGTGAGAGAGAACGAGTTTTTTATCAACGTTATTTTGATGTGCATGCACGCGCTGAATGCTAATGCCGAACAATGCTTGTTAATAATTCTGCGCCGGAATCCGAAACGTTCCTCCGAAACGTCCTTCCCACATGCGCGCAATAGGTACGAGAGCAGAGCGGAGCAAAACTAGCTTGCATAGTACGTGTGTGCCTGGGCGCGTATCAACGCGTGCATATTAATGAACGCATTCAGTGGTTTGAGTTATTCAATGTATTCTGAAATTTTACTTAATAAACTCTCGTATATATTCATATATCGATGTTGAACTGTGTAGTCATTATTGGCGAGCTTTTAACGACTAATACACGATGTTACGTCTACTCTTGCAAATTTTACGATCCAATTGAATCTTGTATCAAAACTTGAATATTGATGACGATGTCTTGTTACACATGTTTGTTTGAACGAGTAAAAATTGTTTCTAATTCAATTATTAAATAATAACGGGTAGTCGACCAAAAAGAAGCGAAAAATACTACACACCATCCGTTAACTTGAGTTTGAAAGACGACGTAAGCCACTAAAATGGCTCGCTGTTAAAAACTATTTTTTCTGAACTTATTCAATGTTCCCACCTTATTTCACGTTTAAGCACATAAATACATCTGCAAGTTTTCGGTATAACTAACTTGGGGCAAAATTTAAATGCCCGTGGCGCGCAAGTTTATAGCGTGCTGCAAGCTCGAAACACAGTGAGAGAGAGAGAGAGAGAGAGAGAACGAGCAAGAGGTGATAAGTTAGACTAGTTTATTATACATCATAAAGTAGGCAAGCTACAGCAGGCCGCCTCGCATCTCACTGCCTTTATTTACAGTACATAAAAACATTGAGGGATCAGATCTTCGAGTCGCGGGACATGCGCAACGTGCCGCTCCTCGTGGTAGGTAACAAACAGGACAAATTACCCACGAGCTCGACGACCGGAGGCTCGTCGAGTGGCGGCGGCGGAGGTAGCACGTCCACCGGAACGAACGCTCGACATCGAGATATTGTCAACCTCGTGCGCAAACACTGGCGATGCGGCTACGTCGAGTGCAGCGCTCGATTCAACTATCGAGTCGTGCAGGTCAGTACACTGCACAGTTTGTTCCGTCGCCCTCATTACGCCCTTTCTTTAAGTACTTGCTTTGAAACTGCGCTCGGGAATTTTTTTTTTACGTTTCACTGGACTCGTAACGCGGTGGCAGCAAAAAATAAATATGAACGCAAATGCATAACAAATACGCAGAACGAATAACGATCGAGAGATAAAATGAAGTACAGCGGTGGTAATTCGACGAACTTATAAACAGGCCAGTTGTGTTTTTGCATGCGAGCTGTGGCGAAAAAGCACGCGTCGATGGAAAAGTAAAAAAAAAAAAAAACAACAACGGCACTGTCTCAAAAGCCTCGTGGGCGCTCTTAGCCTACATCATGCACGTATACGCGAACGAAATTTCCAGGTCATTCACTCCTTGTTGTCGTCGGTCTCGGGTCATAGCTCGGGTGTTTTATTTGCTGCTCGCGTTACGGGCATAGTACAGCTCGGCGCATCAATTGTTCAGCGCGAAAAAATTCCTTTTTTGAATTTTTGTCGTCGTTACCTCGCACTCTCCGATCCTCGTCACAGGTATTTCGAGAACTGATGAAGAGCATCCAGCTGCTGGAGGGCAAGCCAGCCGCGTCGCCGACCCCGACGCAGTCGCAGAGCTTGATAATGCAGCAGGCGGCCAGTAGCAGCGCTGGCACCGGCGGCGGCAAAGGCAGCAGCGGCGGCTTCGACGACGCCGAGGCCTCGGGCAGCGACAACAAGTGCATTCTTCTCTGACATTAGATGAGCCAGTCGGGGCCTGGCAGACTCTCATTATCACGCATCCGCCATCGTCGTCTAACTCTCACCTCGAGAGAGACCTCTTCCAGTCTCTCGCGCGTACCGCTATAATCCCCTTTTTCAAGCCCGAGAGGTCCTCTCTCTCTCCAGCTCGGGCACGAGATGTTTCTTTTTCTTCTATACGTATAAAAACCTCCCTGATCGATTACGGTTGTGCGCGAGGAATATATCGTATACCTATGTAGAGAGAAAAAAAAAGGAAGAAGAAGGGGAGAAAAAGTCGCGTGCATATATATACACGTATACGTATATAGAGATATACATATAGTTCGTAAGCGCGGTTACTCCGGAGAAAAATAAGGAAAAAAGATATATTGCAGCGCAAGGGAGGAAGCATGAGTCAAGATACTCTATACACGTACTCTATCCCCCGTATACAGTGGGAGAGCATAAAGTTCTCTTACACGATGCTTTTTCATTTTATTTCTACGTTTTTTTCTCTACTTTCTATCCTTTTTTTCTCTCTCTCTCTCGCTCTTTCTGTCTCTCACTCTTGCGCGTGCGTCTATTATACACTTCACATCTAGCCTTTTATATATATACATGACAACAAGACGCTGCCAAGAGAAGTCAAAGGAGAGACTCCTCTATATTATACTTCATCCTTTTCGTCGAGCGCGCGCGTGCGTGTAATCCTGCACACTCCCTATTAAAATAAAAAAAAAACATAATGATAAATATAAAGAGACTTGCGATCCCCCGAAAGAAATTTCGTAAAAAAAAAACAGATTCGGCGATCGAGTTTTACGCACACGTATTTATATTATTAATAAACGATATACGAATGATAAGTAGATTTTAAAGCATGTTACGAAAAAAAATGGTTGAAGAGTATTTCTCGTTTTGTTGATTGTTATTGCGCATTCATAGAGTTATACGGATATTATATAAATATATACCAAGTTGCGATGCATACACAAGACGATAAACGATGGAAAATTCGTATACAATTGTGTAAAGTGAACATTTATTTGCATTGTATACAATCGCGTAAGGTAGCTGATAAAGGATTAATGTATTGTTTCCCAAAATAATTAATGCGAGTGGACAAGATTCAAAAGCCAACGTTTAATACGATAACACATGAGGTAAAGAGATAAAATAATGCTTACCTTGTTCATAATTATTCAAAAGAATCGTATTAAGTGCACATGAAAAACCTCGGTTATATTTTTATCCAGCCACAAAATAGTTGATATTTTTTTAATGAGCTGCGATTTTGTGTTTTCTCATTCAGATGGATTTTATTCGAACTAATTTGTCGTTTCGATCCGCTGGAACTTGATAATGTATCGTAGTCAGTAAGAAAATTTTTGAAAGACAATGTGAATAAGAAATATATGTACAATTAACTATATACGGCCTAATGATAGCAATGCGTGCCATTAGTAAATACGACAAGAGAAAAAAAATTTTAATTAAATAATTGATGAAAATAAAAATTGTGTTTTCGGCGTGCGACGGTGGCTCAAGCAATACTAATAATTATATTAGCGAGGTTTAATGTATACATGAAAAATTGCGCGCGCATGGTAATGTATATTTTATCATTGTGAAAGAAAAAACAAACGTTTCCAGAGGATCTCGTGTTGCACACGTGTGTATCTGGGCAAGAAAAAAAAGGAGCCTACATCACTTGTGCCGTATGACGATCGACTTGAACCGACTTCGTTTCACCTTTTTTCCATGTATATGACGAAGAAAACTGAGAGAGAAAAAAGTTGTAAAAAAAACATTGAGTCTCTTTTCACGGGTGTCGCGCACGCATGTAACCGGGATGCGTCGCAGAATATCGTTAGAAAATGTATAAAAATACGACGACTACGAATAACTTCTGTAACTATATAGATAACGATTGATTTATTATGTATTAGAACAACCAAAAAAACAAAACCAAAAAAAAAAAAAAAACAAGAAAAGCCGTAATCCTCCATTGTATCCGAAAACTACCATACTGACGTCAATTTGTATGCTTTGAATGATTATTAAAGCGTTCATCGACATCGCTTACACGTTTGATCGATTACATCGCCAAAACGTGTGACGATATTCTGCGCACATAAGTTTAGTTATAAATAGACGAAAAAAACAAATAATAAAGATGTTGTATAAAAGTTTATTCAAATCAAACCGTGTTTAAATGAAAACCTTTCACACTCTTTCCAACTTCTTTGGGCAATTGCTCATTTAATAGTAATGATCTTACAGCTACGAATTAACAGGTGAATCGTATAATCACTCAATAATTCCATCGCGCTGAAAGCTGACATTTGGAAGCTGCGAAAGTTTCGCGCGCTTGCGGAGCTGACACTCAGCCAGGCCTTGACCAGGATTCATCAGCTGCCACCGTGCCGCCATCTGTACTTGGAGCTTGCGACGACGGCGTGCATGATATTGCATTTGCACGCTGTGTGCTGCTGCACCGTTGCAGCCCAGCTGTGCTGTACGACGCCTAGATGCGCTCGCGTGGGAGTCTCTCAGCTGTTTTACTGCTGCTGCGTGTCCCACTAAAAAGCTACTGCGAACTTTATACCTTTTGCTCGTGTGCAAGCTTCGATAGTCGAGTAAAAATATTTCAAGACCTAGTCTTCGTACGAGCGTGTCCTAGGTAGGAGTTCTCTGATTTTTTTCTAATTTGTTTATCGTGCGCTAAAAAGCAATTGCGTGTTAACCTTGAAACGCGATTGTTCTCGAGCAGAAGCGTTGAAACTGTGCCATACATTGTTATTATTAGCTGCGACGATGGCCGAATAAACGAACGCGTCTTCAAAAGTCATCCGCGCCGCCGAGTTTTTGACTCGCGAAGATTTTTTTTATCTGTGAAAAGTTATACTATATCTGTGTCGTCAAAAGTACGTAGGCTATGAGCTCTAACTGTGCTGAAGTTTGCTGCAATTTCATAGCTGGAACGTTCGAATGCGAAGTTTTATGATGTAAATAGAAAAAAATATATATCGAAAATTTGAAAGCTCGAGCTTTCAATGATACTTGCACCTACACATACGCAAACACATACACACCTAGTAATTTTATGTCAAGTCCAATTCTCATGACTTGATTATTAATTTTTTTTAAATAGCTAAATTTACAAGTAATAAAAGTAACTTAACACGTAACTCTAAGATGATTCAAATTTGGCGTAATGCTAAATTAAACGAACTTCTCAAATCGACTGGTTTAGTGCTTATAAGAATCAATAAACGTTCACTCTCGAGTGACATTGCGAATGGTAACAACAGCATCTTTTTGAAGGTAATTCAAGTATTAGGTTATATTGCCATCGCGTAACTTTCATTGTGCATTAAAAACTTGACATCGATCATGATCGGACTCATTACTCACGATACTCACAGGTATTTATTTTCAAATTAAAAACTCAACTCATCGCTTCATCGAGTTTACTCTTTGTTTACGATTGTACTTATGAAACCATACCATTCATTAAGTTGGCGCTTTTTATGCGCAAACTTTACCCAAGCGCATAATCACCAAAGTTTTTGCACCGCAGCAGTTTCATCGCCTGTACTTATTTTCTTTTCTTTTAAATGTGTGTCTGTATTTTTTTCTCTCGCAAAAGTTGAGCGTGACTCGAGGCGTGCCGAGCAGCAGCAATGACCTCAAAGAGGCATTATGCGAAAAAATCCCGGTGCATCACGACCTGCTGCGGAAGTTTCAGCAGCTGCACGGGCTCGACGTCGTCAGCCAGATCACCGTCAACGACATTTATCGGGGTCTCGACGGTGTCAATGCCCTCATCAGAGAAACTTCCGAAATGGATACCCAAAATGGGGTAGGTGTAATTTTTTCACCCACTTGCCACTGTTTCACAATGTTCGTATCTTTCACGGATTTAACGCTTTTTGCGCAGATCAAATATCGAGGTTTGTCGATCCCGGAGATTTTCGACTTGTTGCCTCGCAAAGGAAAGTCGCCCAGTCCCGAGGCGGTGTTCTGGCTACTGCTGACCGGCGACGTGCCGACTCAAGAGCAAACGGAGTCTCTGATAAACGACTGGACCCAGCGTCGGGACCAGAGACGCGACTGGTGGTTCTCGGAGTCGAGCGGCAATTTAGGCGGCGTCGTGGGCAACGTGCTGAAATCGCTACCACCCAGTGTGCCTCCGGTCGGTAGGCTGGCCATCGCCCTCACGGCCCTCGACGCGGACACGCGCTACAAAAAAGCCGTCCAGAGCGGAGCTATGAGCTACACCTATTGGGAGGTAGGACTGCAAAAGATGAAGTAGATTTCGCGTTGATCGAGAAAAACATTTACGACGATCGTTTTGTGCAGCACGTCTACGAGGACAGTATGGAGCTGTTGGCGTCGTTACCGGCCATCGTGGCCCTCGTCAGTGCCTGCGAGTCGTCCCGACCTCAGATACCGCTGACCCTCGAGAAGTACGATTGGGCCGAGTTTTTCCTCGACTGCCTGCGCACCACCGGCGACACCAACAACAACAACTTCACCGACGCTCAAAAGCAGAGTCTAACCGATTTTCTCCGACTTTACATCGCCGTCAATGCGTGAGTCATAATATATTTTGGATCGATTCTCTATTCCCCCGAGAACAGTCGATATTCAAAGCCATCATTTGATTCGACCTCGAAGCGACGACGACGGGGGAATACCCGGGGCGCACGTGGCCCAAATAATGGGATCGAGTCAGTTCGACGCGAGCCGAGCCCTCGCCGCGGCCGTTCTCGCCTACGCCAACGAGCCGACCAGCGGCACGCTCCATCAGTACATGGACTTTCTCGTGCAGCTGCAGAACGCCGTCGGCCGACAGCCCAAGAACGACATCCTGCAGAATTTCGTGAGTACCCTGGTGAATCGACGCTATCAGATCGCCGGCCACAAAGTCGCTCAGTTCGAGGACACTCGCTACACGGTGCTGAGGGACTACGTCAAGCGCCACGTGCCCGATGATCCCGAGATCAAGGTACTATAGCTGTCGTCATTGACATAATTTTGTGGCGTAATTATTTTTCATTCATTCGTCTTTTTGGTATATTTGAATCGTTGCAGTTGTCGCAGGAAGTCTCAAACATTTACACGGAACAAGTGAAGCAAAGGAGAAACCGAACGATAGTCGCCGAGCAGAATGCCATCGCTGCTCCACTCTTCCAGGTACGCTACGTACAAACCAATCTGCTTCTCTTTTTCGATCTTAAGCTAAAGTCCGCTCTTTTCTCGGACAGTTTTACGGTCTCAAGGACATGAATTACAATCAACTGATGCTGTGCATGTCCCGAGCTCTGGGCATCGTCGCGCAGATGATCTGGACCTCGGCGCTGAACGCGCCCGTCGAGCGGCCACGGGCAAAGAGCTCGCACAGCTACTTCAACGATTTCCGCCTCGATCAGCCCCATCGGCAGAGGCGTGGAAAACCGAGCGGCAAGCACAAGAATCCTCCAAGTAACTCCGCACCCAAAGGACTGTGATAATCTATAAAGTATAGAGAATGATATCGATTTGTAAGCGAGCACCTGTGACTCTTTGCTCATTTCCTCTCGCAATAAACTCGAAACTTGTGTTGTAAATTATTGAAACCAAAGAAATCGATGTAAATTACAAAAAATGTATAAAAATATCTATGACGGTGTAAGTGTGATAATAAAGATGTGTACATTTTGTATCATATACGTAAAGTCGTTGATGTATTTGCTCCTTCCCAACTCAAGTTACATTACAGTCCGTATTTTCAAACATTGACACGCGAGAGTGCAAACGCTTGTTCGCAGACAAGTGCTGTCAACTAGCGACAAATTGTCGAACTCGTAATTTACCGCAAGCGCTCAGTTTCTAAGTAACCAACCGCAGCACTGTGCATGCAAATACTTTGAAAATTCCTCGTCGACTCGACGTAGACGGTGATCGACTGACTCATATATACTATCTCTTTCTCGCAGCACACTGACGCAGCGCAAATTACGCTCGCTCGCGCTTTCATCATCCACGCACGCTGCTGCAAACGCGCAGTGCTGCTGTCTCTAAGCGAAATCGTCGTAACTCTACATGAACACACAACGACGATGCTGTGCACACTTTATAGTCTGCTGCTGCTCCTGCAATGATAAATAGTACGAGTTTAAGCAGTGATGATCATCTCGTGTTTATATCTATACGTGTGTACGCTTAATCTGACTGTCCTCTTCTAATACATATCCGCGATTGTAAGTCACTGTGATTATGCGACTGATCTGTCAGTAATTTCTCGGTATGTATCTATAGTACGCGCCAGTCACTCCGTTCTTGGGACCAAATAACGTCGACGCCGATTACAGCCTCACCACATCCAAGTGTACACGTTATTATACTCGACTGACAGTACGTGGCAGCGAATTGTGTCAGTGTCAAACTCATATAATACACGAACGTATTTTCGATAACACTTTTATCGTGCATATAGGCGGTGGTACGCGCGGATCAAATCTTTTCTCTCTTTTTTTTTCGAATTGCAACGTTACAACGAAATCGACGACTTGAAAAAAAGTTAGTGGAAGGCTTAGTGGTGAGTTGAATGATTCAAGTTATATTCTTGAACGTCTGCTACTGTTCTCAATTGCAAATTTTCCTTACAGTGATTAATAGATAAAATGGCCAGTAACAACTATCTGAGTGATCCTAAAAACCCATTTTTCTCTTTGGAAGATGATGTAGACGATGAAACTTTCTTGAGAAGTGCTCCACCTCGTAAGAACCCTACCTCTCCAGGGTATAGCAGTAACTATGAAAATTACAATAATGACTTGGAACGCAGACACCAAGAACTTCTTCAACGAAAGAGAGAGATTGAAGAAAGAACTATACAGTCATCTCAGAGGTCTATATCTGTATTGAGAGATTCTGAAGAAGTTGGAATTCTCACTGCAGAGGTAATTTAAATATATTAAATTATTTGCTTCAGAAAATTTTATCTGTCAAAAGTTAAATTAAAAATTAATACAATTAATATGATCTAGGAACTTGTCAGGCAGCGCGAGCAATTAGAACGTACTGACAGACGTTTAGATGATATAAACAATACTCTACGTTTCAGTCAGAAACATATTCAAGGTATAAAAAGTGTCTTTGGGGGGCTGAAAAATTATTTCAGTGGAAGCAAATCAATGGATTTTGCTCCTGGTTCAAGTGCAAGTGGAATCAAATCTCCAGAATCTCCAATGTCTCCAACTTCATCTAGTTCTTTAGAAGCTAAACTTAATACTAATGCGGATCATGCCAGAAGAAACTCAGAACACCCTTCATTTCGTTTGCAAGGTTTGAACGAAGATGAAGAATTTAATCCAACTGTTGCCAAAAATATAGCTGCTGTATTAGAAAAGAACTTAGATGAAATGAGTGGCTCTATTCAAAGGTTAAAAGGTTTAGCTCTAGGTTTATCAGAAGAAATTGAAACTCAAAATGATATAATAGATAACATTACAGAAAAAGCTGAAAAAGCTGATATAACTTTACAAAGACAGAACAAAGATATAAAGCATTTATTAAAAAAATAAAAAATGACTTATATACACTATATAAAATCTAAAGATGCATTAGTATCTAATGAATCGCATGTTCCAGAAGTATATATTTTGTCTTATTCAATGAAATTTATAAAAGTTACACATTATAAATTGCACATCAAACTATAATAATTTATTTTTAAATTTCGATTTTATGAGATTCAATCTATGCAAATATATTTAAAACTTTTGTAAATTTTTAAAGTCTAATTGGAAGAACTGATATGATTTTGAGGTAATTAATACTATTCAGTAATAATTTTTTTTAAAAAATGACATGTAATGACATTTAATTTCTATTTAATTTTAAGCAATTTTAATTATAATTATTTCATGAAAGAGTTTCTATTGATAACGGTGTACATAATTTATAGAATAATTTACAGCACTTTATATGCTTAAGGTTTATTAACCAAGGCACAAGAGATCAGACTGAAAATAAATATTGTTTTTGTACGTCTGTCATTATGGTTTGGTGTCCATACGTCCTATGAACTTGTTAATGAATTTAAATATCATGTAAAATGTCTGAATAAATTGTAATTATTTAATTAGAAAGATGAGCAGTTTCACTAATGGCTTGATTTTGTTGTAAGTTTGAAAAATTCTCTATAACTGGTTAGAGTTGATATTGCTATAGATTCATCTAAACTCTTGAGAGTTTAATAATTAGTAAAATAAAATATTTTAAATTGGATGATCAAATTATTGTAAATTGTTGAAGATATTCATATAACCAGTCTGTTTGAAATAAATACAGCATGATAAATTTTTTGCAAAACTTAATCAGACAACTATGGAATGTTAGTTTTGGGATGATATTTTATTACTCGATCTTTTCGTCTCGATCCATGTATTTAATAAAATATATAAATAATGTAAAAATCATATTACTATTTTGTTGATTTATTTGAAAATTACTCTTTTTTGCGGCAACAGGCCGTTCTAATTGTAATTGAAGTCATATTCACGAACTTCGTTGGGTACAGATGTAGCCTCGTAAGCTAATCGTTGAGCCTCGCGTTGGGCGGCAATGGCTGCGTGCTCGGCAGCGATTCTTTGATAAAGATCTGCATGACGAACTTTGGCATTCGCAACGCTCTTCGTGTCCTAGAAAAAATGGCAAAAATTATTTGAAATTTCCTAAATGAAGAAAACAAAAATATTAGATCGTCCGTAAGAAAATATTGATTTTACTCTTGGCAAGTTCGCTGGAATGCCTTGGGAATTGCGTGTTGCGATTTTCTGGTAAAGCAAAGCGTGTCTTTCTTTTTCGCGACGAACAGCTTCAGAATCTTTGGGTTGTCTCAAAATATCATCGTAGCCGGTCAAAGTAGGGTGATATCCATTTTCATCAACTGTATATTCGACGGTTCTCACGATTGATTTTGGGTCAACGAATGAGTAAGATCCTGAAAATAACGAATTAATTGTTAATCCATTCTTGAAGCTAAAAAAATTATAAATAAATAATAATATATTAAAATTTAGGCAAACAAAAAATATATTTCATATATCTCGTCACAGTCATCGAGTTCGTCGAGAATAAAGTACGAAATTTCGCGCTTTTTGCGCTTCCGCGCGTGGCGCTAGTTGCAGTCGTCGACTACGTTGGTCCTCGTGTAGAATCAGCGAGTCTTTTCTTCTTAACGTTGTATCTTGCTTCGAGCCTGGTAATGCCCAATTTTTAAAACTATTTTTTATCTGATTAATCTTTGTAATTATCGTTTTTTATTTAAATAATTCTTTGTTATTAACGATCGCGATTGGTTAAAGCACTGTGCAATGTGAAAAGTTTTATTAATCTCTAGTTATTGCATTAATAAAACTTGTTCGATATTTTTCTAACCTCTAGTGTACTGTAAACGCACACGAATTACACGAACACAAATTCACTTGTGAAATTGCCAAATAGTTAATAAATTTATTATTTTTATTCCAGATTTAACTTAAAATGGCCAAGTCGAAGAATCACACCAATCACAACCAAAGTAAGTTTGAGAAAACCATTACTTTAACTTTTGTTAAAAGTTTCTTTGCATGTGTCTTCAAATTTCTATCAAATTTTACTCAACTTATTGCACCTAACCTACTTCTGGAACTTACTTAGCTTTTATATTGACGAAATATTAATAAATTACTTTTTATTTTTTAGGCCGCAAGGCTCACAGAAATGGAATCAAGAAGCCAAAGAGGAAGCTGCACGAGTCCACCTTGGGTGTAAGTAACTTTCGAATATGAATTTATCTATAATAGTTGTACAATTATCAAAACAAAATTTGGTGTTAGTCTTGACTAGTCAGAAATTTTTGACAGAAAATTTGTTGAAGTGCTGTTATCTATTTTGTTGCAATTTTTCATTAGTTCTACCTGTATTGTATGTCTTAAACAAAAGCTATACTTTTACCAAATGTAATTGATTTACTTAATGCAAAAGAATTCTTGAGAAATATTTTTTATAATAAATATTAACATTAAATTATTTTTTTAATATAGATGGACCTGAAATTCTTGAAGAATCAGAGATTCGCCAAGAAGCACAACCTCAAGCCTAAGGCTCAGCTCAAGAGGGCAGCAGAGCGCAAAGCTGCTCGTGAAGCTAAGAAATAGATTTTCCATAGATTAATTTTATGATAATAAAAAATCTTGAAAAATCTTAAATCTTTGTTTAAATTCTTTGTACCTATAATATTTGATTTTATAAATTATATGTGTCAATTTAGCAGATGAAGAATATACTCAAGCAAAGAAATTCTGCTTATACTGGATAACTTCAGTTGTGATTAACGTACTGAATGTTCATACTACTACTGAATGAAATGAATATAATTTTATTACGAAATCGTAAATACTATTTAATACCAAAAATGCATACTTCTTTTTTTGTACTTATTCTCGAAAGAAAGTCGTCGTTTTCTTATTATTTTTCAACATATTTGCAAACAGGACGTTGCCCTTGGAGTCTCATCAAGTACTGATATAATTATGATTGCGACTTGATAGTAGATTATCAATTACGACTTTTGAAAATCAATAAAATGAAATCGATAAAGTATGAAATACCTTGAACGCGACCGGTACCATCACCCGATTCGGCGTGTACGCGGTCGATGTGGCCCGGTAAGCGACCAGCCACGTATTGGAAGCTGTAAGGATTCGGTGGCCCCTGAGTCGTGGTCGTCGTCGTGGCGTCGAACAGATGAGATACGTCGGCGCTCGCCAAGCTCACCGACGCGAAAATTGCCTGAAATCGTGCGCATCGGTACGTGAAAAATGTAATTTTCATTGATTTTCATACTCGTCTCGGCTCTCGAAGCAGGACGATTTAAAAATAAATCTTATCATATCTCGCGGATCGTTAATACAAGAGGAGTAAGACCGTGGATCGTAACGCAAAGTAGTGACTCATCGTCGCGATCTTACATCACGCAAGTTGGAAATTTATTCAATGCCGAAAAACCTGTTGACAGATATTCCCTTTCGTAATGTCGCTACTACACCTACTACAGTGTCGAGTCCAAACATCGCATGTGGAAGAAGGAAAAACCATCGCCGATAGGTTTTGTTTAACGCGTATACACAAAGTTGGGCTGACGCGATTCGGTTGATAACACGCGATAATAATTGAAAAACTTTCACTTTCGATTTATGAATCGTCGGCCGCCGGATACTTTTGATACTTCGTGCCCAATGTCTATGTGGTGCACGATCGATGTCGCGGAGTAAATTATACATGCACAGGCCGCGCACATTACCGAGCACACGTATAAAACCGACGTCAAGAAAATTTTTGATCGACGATCGGATGGTACAATCAAATGGACTTACAATCAATAAAACCTTCATGGTTTTGCGCGTTTTCAAGTGATCGTATTGACAAAAAAAAAAAACAGTCGAATGTATCGAAGCCTCTTCCAGTTTGATACTGATGAAAAGTCGCAACTCGTGCAAGATATTCTCTCACTAGCGAGCCTTATACATTTCGTTACGTGTACGTGTAGCCGCGCCGTACGTTTGTGTAAGTGCGTGTGTATACATGAATGCGAAGTCGGTGACGCGCAATATAGTGAAAGTCCGTAATGTTTAAGGACTTTAATGAAATCCACGCGACTCGACGTAGTATAAATATACGCCGTACACATTATAGAACGTAAGGCATCGGCAAAGTGATTTTTGAGAAGGAGCGCTTCCGTGTGTTTTTGGCGCTTGAGCAATTGGAAACTCATTTTTTTTTTCATGGATTTACAGTTGGAAATAAAAGTCTCGATTGATACGAAGTAATGATGATTATTTCATCTATGCAGAGTATATTTTATTCGACTCTTTGGCAAATAAATCAATCAATCGATATCGAGTTTCTTGAAACTTCCCTCGACGCCGAACAAATCGGTAGCGGACTTGGCTTTGCCCGGGCGCTTGCTCTCGTCGACGCGAGACTTGGCCTCGTCGTTCAAGAACCAGTCACGATGCGCCTCGAGTTTTGCCAGTTGAGCTTGATGCATATCCGCCAATGCTCCGGCCTTGCCACCAAGCTCGTTCGGTAAAATTTCCAAAGGTATGTGCTTATCCAGACTCTCGAGCGACGAGTGCAAGTGCAGCTGAAAATCGGTAAGATCGTTTGAATCGATCGACGCAATTGCATGCTTTTTGTCGTCGCACTGTACGCGATCTTTACTCACCACATCCATGAGTTCCTTCTTCATGAAAGGTTTCATCATGTTCAAGATGACGTCCATCACGGGATTCGTGTTCATGAAGTGCAAACCCTTGAGCCTGACCGGCAATCCCTCCTGCAAATAAACTAAAAATTTCTTCAAGCCGATCGGATTCAAGCGAGCCGCGTGACCCAGAGTGACGTTGTTCACGTCGATGAGAATGATGTGGCCCTTCATGGTGCCCTCGCTGTACATCCACAGATCGAGAATCATATTAAAGAACTTCATGTTGTCGTAGTAGTTGTACTTGGAGGGGTCGTAATCGATGAGCTTGGCGAACAAGACCTTGTAGCCATCGCGCGTCGGTTTTTCCAGCGGTATGGTGGATCTGAACGGCCGGCGTAATTCAACGATTATTTACCAGCCAATCGCGTTCGAGCCAATTTTACAATGCGGTTTTTACCGCAAAAACTCACGCGACTTTGAAGGTGGTTCGGAGCTCCTTCGAACCGACGGGGTCTCGATTGCCGAAAAATTCCGGCACGTGCGTCCTAATCGTGTAGAACGTGTCGAGCGTTATCTTCGTGGGTTCCATGCGATAGTAATTGCTGTGCAAAAACAAGGCCAGCTCGCTGTCGCGGATCTTCGGCAGGTGAGGCTGCTTCTCGTACCAATCTCGCAGGGCTTGGATGTCGGACTTGCGCAACTCCGGATTCTTCTTCAATTCCTCCTCGAACGTCACGTAGATATCCATCTTGCTCATCGTTTATGATTCAACTTTGGCGTGGCACTTTTGCATCGACAACGACGACTGTGCACTCTCGAGCATAGAATTTTTCGCAGTGTTCATGTTTTTCGTTCTCGAGCCGAGTGCGAACTTACACAATATTGAATTTGTGAAGAATCACGTTCGTGACATTGTCAAGATGCATAACAATTTATCATCAATGCCAGGTATTAACGAGTTTTTCTTCCATTGCATTTTTCGTACTCCCCACTTTCAAAACTAGTTTCTCGCTTATTACGTGGTCCCCGACGTTTATTGAATGAGTTCGCGTGCGTGCAAGAACAACGACAACAAAAATAGGCGCGTGGCCTCCAATAAAACGAATGAAAAAGAAAACTGCTTTCAACAACAATTTTTTTCTCGAATTAATCACACAGGAAATGTATATTTTTATATAAATATGTATGTAGCCTTAATCAACTCATTTTTAAGTATCAGATTTATTTATAACTCATTTACATCGAATTAAACGGAAGTCATGAGTCAATCAATTTCCAATTTTTTAAAACTACCTTCAACGCCAAAAAGATCATTGGCAGATTTCGCCTTGCCGGGCCGCTTCGACTCGTCGACCCTCTTAGTTTTTTCGTCCTGCAGAAACCAGTCACGATGTTGCCTCAATTTGTCGGCCTCGGTCGCAAACAGCTCTCTTTGGGGTCCCGCTTTGCCTCCGGACTCGTTCGGCAGTATATCCACGGGGATGTTGAAGGCCTCGATGCCTTCGACCTTTTGATGCAAGTGAAGCTGCGAAAATCGATCGTTGCAATTTTCAATCGACGTATAAATTGTTCGCGCATTTTTACGGCATACGTACGACATCGAGCAATTCTTTCTTCATGAAGGGACGCATGATGTTCATGAGCAGATCCATGACGGGATTCGTATTGAAAAAGTGAAAACCCTTGAGCCTGACCGGCAGGCCCTCTTGCAAATAATAGAGAAACTTTTTCAGGGCCATCGGGCTGAAGTGAGCCAAGTGGCCCATTACCAGGCCCTTGAGATCGATAATTATGACGTGGCCTTTGGTCGTGCCCTCGGTATAGAGCCACAGGTCCATGACCATGGCAAAGAGCTTCATGTTCAAGGTGTAATCGTAATGGCTCGCGTCGAAATCCTGCAGAGCTCCGTAAATGACGCGATAGCCGTCCTTGGTCGATCGTTCCAATGGCATGTTTAAACTGTAAGAATGTCGATCTTTCGTTTATCGTAATTATACGTGGATCCGAGGCTCAGAATTTTTTAAACAACTTTTTGTCGTCGGGATCTCTCGGACTTTCCGCTAATCGTTTAATACTTAGAAAAACACTTGCAAAGTTACAATTCCAAACTTCGATTTCGCTTGGATGCGTCAAAAATCATATGGTCGTCGGTCTTATTTCGATACCGATTGTGGCGCATGATTATTCAAAAAAATTCAAAACCTCACCCAAAATAAGATAATATTTTATACTCACACTACTTTCATTATTTGCTCGAGTCCTGGATCGTTCAGAGGATCTCTGCCATCGAAAAATTCCGGCACGTGCGTTCTGACGCTGTAAAACGTATCGATCGTGGATTTCGTCGGCTCCAATCGGTAATAATTACTATGCAAAAATAGGGCCAACTCGCTATCCGTCATGGCCGGCAAATGGGGCTGCTTATTCAGCCACTCTCTCAAAGATTTTATATCCGATAAATTCAATTCTGGATTTCTTTTCAGTTCTTCTTCGAGAGGTATTAATTTTATCGATTCCATCTCAATTATTTTTCTTTTAAGGTAAAGCTTTTTATTGAACAATGCGAAAAAACAAGAAGAATTAACAAACAATGGTGACCACTAGGGAGATCCTTGCTGACTCGTTGCAGTGTCTCGTTGAACTCGCTAATTTCATAAAATGAGATATTTTTTACGAGCTATTTTTCAGTTTAAAAGCAAATGGTATAGCGGAGCACAACAATAACAGAGCAGCGTGTGCAGATTTAAAATTGAAAAGCGATATAATAATACACCATTAAGAACGATGATAAAAAATGCAATAAATTGAGATGCTTTAATACGGTACAGCAAAACGATTACTTCGTTCAATCTTTTTTAAAAAATAATATGTTGATTTTTTATTTATACATGATATTTTATTTAATAATAAATTTACGGAGACTAGATAAATAAAATTTTCAAACTTGTCTCCCATTTCCTTCGCCGAGGCGCATTCACAATTCACATCCATTCATGCCTACACAACAGAAGCCGTGTTTGTTTGGTATTTGATGTAAACCTTCGTACTGGCAGAAGGCAGACAGAAGCCAGACTATTGCGTGGCTTCGGCTGCAGTTAACACATTTAGTTTACAATTTTATGTGTTCAGTATTGGCATCGCAATTAATTTTTTACCGTCATTAGTGATAGATAAATGAACAGTAAATACCTAAAACTTGTTTTCACTGTTTAACTTATACACCATAGTAATTGTACAAATCAGAAAGCAGATTTGTTTTAATCAAGTTTGTACACAATGGGCGAAAAAAGCCATGGTTTGTCGGTAAGTTCAAGGATAAATAAAACTCAGTGCGGCGCTTAATTTTTCTGTTAATATTGCTTATTTTAATGCAATGCATTAACTTTATTTATCTACATTTGTATCGCAATAACAAGAAAAATACATCCTAACTTGTTTTATAAATTAGGTTATGTAAAAGGAATAAGAACCCTTTATTTAAGTTTAAAAAATAAAATATTTTTTTTTAACAGAAAGAAGAAATTGCTAAGCAGTTCATGCTTCCAGAGAGAAAAAGTAAAATAGCTACTCTTTTAAAACAAGATGATCAAGCCTATTGCATTTGTCGAAGTTCTGACAGCTCCAGATTCATGATGTAAATGATTTATTTTGAATTTTGAAAAACTATACTTGAATAAATAAATATAACTTATTTTTTATAGTGCTTGTGATTCGTGTGAAGAATGGTATCATGGAGATTGTATCAACATAACTGAAAAAGAAGCCAAGCACATCAAGCAGTTTTTTTGTGCAGTAAGTGGTTTTGTGAATAAAGCTAATGGCATTACTAAATCATAACGAGACTTAAAATGCTCAACTTATATGCTTCCTGAATATTACAGACATTATTTCTTTAATTTACAGAAATGCAAAGAGGAAGATCCAACTTTACAAACAAGGTACAAACCAAAGAGATCTGAGAAAGTTGACAAAACCGACAAAGATGATCGAAAGCACAAAAAAAATAAGGAAAAAGAAAAAGTTTCAAAATACGAAAAAGATGAACCTTATAATCCTGCAACCATTGGTCAAAAAAAGCCATCTAAACATTGTGGCGAATGTAGGGGATGCCTAAGAACAGAAAATTGTGGTAAATGTGATAATTGCAGGTAAAAATTTTATGTAGCTAAATTTTAAATTATATATAAATGATAAGTATCAAACATGTGATTAAAATATTAAAATGTATATTCAGACAATTGAAAAGATTTGGATATTCAAGATGTGGAAAACTTCGTTGTGAACAAAAAATGTGTCATGTTTTTGGTAATCCGTTGAAACCTTCTAAAAATGTTAATCGTAATATAAAATTAACTAAAAGAAGGCGTCGTGATTCGAGTAGTGAAAGAATAGATTACCTGGAACCTCCCAGACATTGCTATGGACCATCTTGTGTGAAACAATCAAGACCTGGAAGTAAATATTGTTCTGAGGACTGTGGAATAAAATTAGCAACTAGTAGAATTTTTCAAGTACTTCCATCAAGACTCCAAGAATGGGGCCTTACCCCATGTATAGCTGAACAAAATAATGGTTTGGCTATAGAAAATGTCAGAAAACAACAACAACATGTGAGACAAATACTGCATGAATTAGATAGAAGACATGCTGAGTTGGATAGAATAGTAGAGCGAGCAAAAAATGATACTATAGATCCTAGAACTGAAATTGATGATAATGATGATACAGAAATGAGTATGTATTGTATAACATGTGGTCATGAAGTAAATTCTAGGACTGCTATAAAACATATGGAAAAATGTTTTAATAAGGTATGAATTTATTTATGTATCTTTTAAAATAAACAAAAACAATTTTGTTGTGCTAATACAATTTTTCTTATTTTTGCAATTTATTTAGTATGAATCACAAGCATCTTTTGGTTCTATATTTAAAACTAGGATCGAAGGTCAAGTCATGTTCTGTGATTATTATAATCCAATGAACCATACGTACTGTAAAAGATTAAAAGTGCTTTGCCCAGAGCATTGTAAAGATCCAAAAATCAGTGACACAGAAGTTTGTGGATGTCCATTAGTCGCCAATGTTTTTGATGCAACTGGTGAATATTGCAGAGCACCAAAAAAAAGCTGTACTAAACATTATGTTTGGGAAAAATTGCGTAGAGCTGAAATAGATATGGAAAGGGTTCGACAGTGGTTAAAAATTGATGAACTCTTGGAACAAGAAAGACAAATCAGGTCAAATATGGCATCTAGAGCAGGAGTTTTGGCTTTATTACTTCATTCTACCTACAATCATGAAATAATGGAAAAAATTAATCAAGAAAGAAATAGAGAACAAATGCGAGCCATTGAAGAAGAAATGAAAAGAAGAAAACTATCTGATACTGAACAGTGATAGTTTTTTTATTGTAATATTTAGCTGCATCACAAGTATAAATATATCTTGAATTGGTTTAAATGAAAGTATATGTAATAAATTCAAGGTACACAATTATTTTTTATGCAAAATAATTAATATTCTCAACAGAAATTATTGCTGTTTTATTAAATATTATTCATTTCTTGAATTACAAAACTTTTAATTATAAAAACATAAAATTTTTTTATACATATAAACTCTGTGTCTATATTTACTTTACATGTTTACTGTTCTCTAAAAGTATATTTTAGTCATCTTATGCTTGCACTTAGTCCTCAATCTGTTGTTTTTCGACTATTGAAGCTACTAAAATTTTTTTATAATTTTTAACAGAGATTTTCATGAATTTCATTCAGAAAATAAGTTTTTTTAATAGAAATAACAGCAGGCAAAGAGTTACTTATGTTTTCCTATATTAAGTACTTTTTAATCCACATATTGGGACACCCTAAACAAATATCTAGCATCTAAATTATATTAATATATGCACAAAAATACTTAATCAATGCTAGCTCCTTAGTTATTAATTTTTTAAAAATATTTGTTTATAAAATTTATACAACAAATGAAAATAATCACTTCGCATTTGCGTTTCAAAAATCACGGAATATTAAGCTTTTTTCTTGGAGAAGCAGCAAATGGACTTCCTCTTTTCCCCCTAATGTATTCTCCAACAGGAGATACTATTTCTTTTTGCCACGAATTATATCCGCGTTTCTTTGGTGTAACAATGGATGCATTAGGAGATTTAGGACTCAATAATTTTACATTTTGCCTTGAATTTAATAGTGAGTTTGGAGATAAATTAGATTGTTTGCGATTGCATTGTAAGGGTGACACTTTCAACAAGTTTTTTCCATCTGAAATGAAAAATGTTTCATTACTGTTGCAGACAGTTACATTAATGAATAAAGTCAATTAATTTACCTTTAGTATTCTGGTGACTCTTTGAATCAGTGAGTTTATTACTTTTTCTGTGTCGAATATATCTGACATTTTCACTTATGATAAACCTTGGCTTTTGACATGTACATTTGGTACTTTCTTTTTTCATTTTATCTATTTCCTTGGATAAACAATTTAAAAATTTGTTGTACAAAATGTGAGGTAAATGTTTTACTTCGTGCAGTAGACTTTCGCAAGATTTACTACGTCTTCTTAGTCTACCTGATTTATTTGTGGTATTATTTTCACTGTGTACAGTTTCCAGAGTGCAGTGAGATAAATAAATATCATCCAAAGTTTTGAAACTAGCTGAGCGTTCGTCATCTCCTGCATAATTTACAGAACCTGAATTTAATTCTGAAAAAGATAAGCTTTTTCTGAGTGATAACTTTTCTTCAGATTGACAATATTTTTCCCATGCTACGAATGAATCTGTAGTATTATGATTGGCACTGCAAAATCTGTTTGAATCTCTTTTTTTTGAAAAACATTGAGATTTATGAGGCGACATTGTTTCTTTCTTATGAGATTGATTCAATTTCACTGAGACTTCATTGCTCTGGTAATTTATGATACTATCTTCATTGGTAAATAATACTTTTTTTGTAGCAGGATTATCCAAGGTTTTTATTTTATTAACCATTTCAACAATCATTTTTCCAGTATTTTTTTCATGACAAATTGATTCTGATTCTGGAGCAAGAAGTGAATTAGTTTTTTGTGTTACTTCAGTTTCTTCCATTATTGTTACTAATCTGTTTGGTTCGATAAAAGCTTTTGTAGACTGTTGTTCAAAATCCACAGCTTTTTTGTAATCTTCTTTATCATTGAAACGATCAGAACTTTGCATATCTGAAAAAGATGGAGTTTTACAAAGTCCAGTTGTATGTACCAATTCCATGTATTCAGTACTATCAGTTTTACTATTATCTTCTAGTAAAAAACTTGTATCAGCAGTACAATCAGCATATACTTCATCCTCTTCTGTTAAGACATCTAAATTTTGATCAAGAATATTAATTTTTTCATTGTTGAATTCAATTTTTGTGGGTGCTGAAAAACGCACTGTTTCAGCTTCATCACCTATTTCATCGCTGTCATAGCTTTCATAACTATCATCAATAGCAATATGCCCAGCTAAAATGATTGACTGTCTTGGAGATAATATATCATGCAAAATACTGTTATCAGAACATGTAGTGTAATCAGAACCACTACCAGCCCCTTTTGATTTCGAAATGTTTGCTGTAAAGAAAAAAATGTGTTTATTTCAACAACTAAATTCTGTTTCATTATAAATTGATAACAACGTCATAAAGTTGAGTAACAAAGAATGCACATTTGGAATCAAGCCTACTTCATGAAGTATCGATCTCATGTTTCATGTATTCGATTTCATATTCCTTAATACCTGAGCCATTTTTTTTCCAGGTTAATTCAAGTATTTAGAACGCATAAAATGTTGACTATTGTAACAGTGTACTCACGGCTTTTGTTTTCCATTATGATTCACGGATGCTGATCTTCAATGCACCCCACAATTATGTTTATACTTCGATCTAAACTTATCAAACTGCGCCTGAGTAACCGGCAAATGGATTTGTACGTCACACTGTGTCATACATCGGCTTTTACAAATATTTCTGCTCTCGCTGCATTGGCGAATCTTCCGCAAGGTGGTTTTTTCAGCGTACGAAGGCGCCGTAGTACTCCGAAAAACGTGAGATTTAAAAGAAAAAAAGAAAAGAATGGGCGGGCCAATAGCGGCGATTCTTAATATACGGCGTAACGTAATAGTTTGACTGCTTGTCACCCGTTTTCATCCTACACGCGTTCGAAATGAGAGTGTAACGCCGGACAGATAGGAGTAGGGAAAGATAGAGAGAACGCGATTGGCTTGTTTGATCCACGGCATGTGTGAAAAGAAACGGTTACGAATTTTTTGAATGTCAAGCGCTCTATACAGTGAGAACAGGTGAATTAATGCTGTAAATTTGATACTCTTTTGTAGGCGTACACTGTCAAAGTGTTATAGCTTATAGTCTAATAGAATCAAATTTTCACTTAAATGACCTGATAATGAATGGATGGTGAAAGCGAATGAACGCGCGTGAGATTTCACAATTTTAGAGATTTACTCTCTAAGATGGAGCATTTGTAATCAAAAACAATTTAAAAATGTAACATTTTTGTTTTTATTAAATTATAAATAACAACTCTCGTCATTAAATTCATATCACACTTTGACGATTCGGTCGAATACATAAATACAAAATTAAGATTTATATTTTTTACAATCAAAAAAATGCAAAATTGGCAATAAAATATTTTTAACATTTTTTAAATAAATATTGTAAAACATTTAGTAGCAATGCAGAATTTGTATAAAATTTTTTGTACTTCTGGAGTTCACACTGTCTTTGGTTAATATTCTCATTTAGAATGTAATAATTTATAAATTTACGTCATAGAGGTGTGTTTCAAATGTTAAAAATCAAAATTTTTCAAGTCCTGTATCAAAAAGTATAATGATATTCAATAGATTCTACTATCAGAAAATTTACTCGTTGTACTTTATAAGTCTTCAATTGCATTCAACTCTTCAACTTATTAAACCAGATTTTTAATTAAAAAATATAAATATGCTCAGTTCTCTTGCAGCTTAAGTAGTTTATAATAATAAAATAACGCATTTATCTAAGTCATTTAAAAAAATTCACCAACAATCGATATTCGTTGTAAGAAAGGTTGAGATTGACAGCTTAACAGTTGAAAATCTTCTTTAGCTGTTAAATTAGAAGGATATGAATTACTTTTTCTTATTCTTTCTAATAAAATTTGAGGATCATTATAAAATTCTCTTTCTGTAGGTTTTTCATCATCATTAGGTGTTGAATTTGTTTGAGCTGTTTCTATAAGAGGAGCTGCGTGTTCCTTACTTGTTCGTGGAACAGTTCCTAATATCTCTATGTGTTCGCTGTCATCAACTTTGTAAATTTCACTTGGAGGAGCCATAATTACTAATTTGCCATTAAACTGATCTTTAATTTCACTATCAGACCCTTCAGAACTCTTGAGCTGTTCATTAGTCACTTTATCTTCAGCTTTTGCTTTTTTAATATCTGATAGTTTTTCAATTCTTATAAATTTATTTTTTCCTATATTTTTATTTACATCATCTTCAAAATATTTAACATCAATTGGATCTTTACTTTTTCTATTATCAACAGCAACAAATTTGTACAGCTGTGATTTTTTTTGTGTAAAAAGATTATGTGGATGCTGACAGCAATGCAATGCACCTGGATCTATTGGATGAGCCTCTGTATTGAATATGTAACCACCAGCATCAACAACGCATTGTCCCCATGGTGTTTGAATAATATCACCATGTTCTCCTAAAAATATAAAGAATTTGTAATGCATTCAATTATAAACAAACTTTGAAATTTATGAGCATTAAATATAAAATGAATTATTACCATTGTTATGAATAAAATTGTCAGGATCAAATAATAAGTAAAGATATTTGGTGGTTTCAGCCAAGAAAAATGATTCCATTCTATCAGCTTTTCTATGGTCTCTGACATCATTAATAGTAGCATACCCACAAGTGGTTTTTGCACTGTGTTGTAAACTTCTCAAAACATCAATTCCTACTTGAATTAAAAATGGATCACCTGTTGCTCTATATAAATACATAACTGATTCAATGAGTTCAGGTCTTAATGGATATCCTTCTCTATTAGTACCTGCTTCACCTTGAGGAATATTATAAAATTCTGGTGTAAAACCAAATTGTTTCCATACTTTATGGTAATTATGAAGTGATTTCATAGCATCTTCAACTTCGCCAAACAAGCTGAGTACACCAGGCCAATATGCATCCAGAGATTGAAAAACTGGTAGTGTAACTTGCCCTTTAGTCATTGAAACCCATAAATGCCAGTCTTCTCTTCTAATATATTTTTCAATAGCTGCTTTAAGTTCATGGAATATAGCTGCTAATGATGGATCTTGAAAAAGAAGAGTTCCCTTAGCTAAGTACTCAAAATAGGAATCGACACCAGCTCCAATACCAGAATCTTGAGCTGTCCAATGTCCAGTTAAAACATCAACATGATTACCAACTAAGCCAATATTGGATTTATAATGGTGCAGAGCTTTAATAGCATTCATTGCAACTTCTTCATATAAGGGATCGCCAGTTAGCCTTGATAGCGTTCCAAATTCTAATAAAAACGTACCTATTCCAGCAGTGCAGGTGATACTTGTTTCACCTGGTGGAACACCATATTTTAAATTAACTGTTCCATATGGCATACCAGTTGGAGTGTCAAAAGCTACAATTAATCTTTTAGCCATATCTTCAGCCAGACGAAGCAATGGACCATTGCAAGGCCAACCAGGCTCTAGTTGCATACCTGCCTTTCGTGACAGCAAGTGTGCACTCAGCAAACCTCCTACAACTCTGATATTAGTTTCAAATACTGAAACATTAATATTGGCTTCAAAGTCAGATCTTGATGCTATGATTTCGGCTACTCGTCTAAATTCAGTAAAATTTCCCATGACAGCTAATGTATCAAGAGCGTCGATCAAAGTAAGGGAAAAACTTCCCCACGTATCAAAACCATCGCAGCTCAAAGAACGAAGTTCATCGTAGGGATACGCATATTTCAAATAACTCGAGTAAGCATGATCGAACATTGCTCGAGTTTCTTCACGTAATTTCAACAGATCTTTTTTTTCGAACCTTTGAGGTACGCCGGTGACTAGTGACACACATTTTAGGATAAATAATAATGCGACAATTGGAATATTCATCTTTTTCTGAACTAACTACGAAGAAACGACTGTAGAACTCGGTCATTTGATTGAATCTTCTTTCATATTACTTTTTAAATACAGCTCCAGTCTGAGATTTCGCATAGTAATTTGCTAATCAATAACTCTGCAAAATAAACATCGAGTTACATCGAGTTAAATTCAACACACTCATTAGTAATTAGATCTTACAGACTGTATACATCATAAATTTCACATATGTTTAATTTGTTGCTGCCTCATGAATTATTTTACAGTTGGCAAATTGACAACACTTATCGACTAAAGTACTATGCAAAACTTGAGGTTATAGGAGAAGAAGCTTTTATGACCCCCCACTTGGCTCATGTCAGCTGTTGGCACGATTTAGTGGGGATTCGTACCAAAACAAATAACGTTATTTCGACTTTCGAGGTATGCTATAGCCTATAACTTCCTGCGATAGTCTCGTATAACGATTCCAGAGAATGCAGGACGCAAAGAAAGACGCATCAAGACAAAAGCTCGAGTATCGAGCTGCGAATCATTGATTTTCTACTTTAAAAATAGCCCGTCTCGAGTGCTCGGTGCAATTTTCATGAGTCTTGCGCGAGCCGCGGATTGCACCTGCGGGCATAGGTGTATAGGTGCAACACATCGTGCTTGTGCATCGCAATTACCTTTAGTTGCGGTATGACAATGGATCAGTTGCTCATAAGGTCAATTTTTTATGCGCAGACTAATATCTATAGTTGAGCTTTATCGAAGGAATGTTGTTCATCTGCAGCGTAGAGTACACAATGCAAACTACTGATATTACTGGAAATATCGATGTTCTTTCCGGGAAAATTTCGAAGGTCATTCCGTGACAGTTAGGGTGGCTTTTTACGTCAGCTACAAAGCATGAACGAATTTTACGCCCCCTCTCAACGTATAAATTAGAGTAATAAGAATAATTTGATACCGAGTCTTGATCGAAAAGCGAACGATTCACGAAATTTCACTCGGCTTAGACCACGCTATTGAACAAAAATTGTGCTCAACTGTCACGTCTTTATACGTATATAAAGATTAAATTTTAAAGTGTCATTGACATGCTATTTTATTATGATCGTTCATTACTTCAATCCTAACTGTCAACTAAAAATGAGTTCAAGTATCGTCGATCAGGCGCATACAGGCAAAATAATAGCGGACCTAAGCATTCCTGCCTCACAAAGTGACAGATACACACACATACACAATTTTGCTGCATGAGCAGAGCACGCGAGCAAGTCGCGTGAGACTCCGGGGTGGGGGAGCCTCGAAGCAGAAAGAATGTAGCAACGCATCATAGTGCAGAACTGCTGCTGCTGCTGCTGCAGCAACATTATATTGCATCTGTCGCACACTCACACACACAGACACACTCCGCCGTCGCGACTGCAGTCGGGAGCTTTTGAAAATTTCTCAGTATATATACAAAAAGAAGGAAATAATACGTCGCGACATGAGTGCGACGTCAACGTAATATATCAGCGCGTGCTCGCGCGCGTTATGATCGCGACTGGGTGATACACGGCCAAGGGCAGTGTCGCGATCGTCCCCCGAGTGAAATTATACACATCAAAACGCGCTGCCAAACTGCTGCTGCGAGCTTGAGGTTAACGCGCAGAGTGAATTTTATGATCATGAAGCGAACGTCGTCGTGCTGCGAGGCATTTCTCCGCTTTTTATCGTGAAGAGACGATCGCCGCGATTGACATGTGACCGAGCGACGATCTTCGATAAGCTCGTTTGACAGGCAGCATTGATACGTTGATGCAGCAGCCCTGACTTAAATCTTACAAGAATGGCACTTAATAAACTTATTCACAGGTTTGTAAGCGTTCTCTGGCATGCATTTTTTGAATTGAAAAATCAACTCAATTTATAAATTTTTACCTCGAAAAATGTAACTGACTTCGGTTATTCTATGATCTATGAGAATTCCCTTTTTCTGATTAGATATCAAAAGAAACTAGGCACTTATGATAAACAAGAATGGGAAAAAACAGTAGAACAGAAGATATTTTTAGGATTGAAACATGTTCCTATGAGAGCTGCAAAACTCAAAACAGAATTCATTGATGTAGATCTTGTCAGAGGTATTAAAAACTCTTAAAACTTGTAAACAATTATGATGATTCAAAAATAAATAATAGATTAATTTTTATTTTTAGGTTCTTCATTTCCAAAAGCTAAGCCTAAACATGGATTAGTAACTGTTGCTTACCTTGCAATTCAAAGGCTGTTATTTTTACCATTTACTGCTGACTGGTGGATTCAGCAGACCAGTTCGAGCATTTATTTTTTCTTTTTACTTCTTTATTTTCTACAAGTGTTTAATTTATATTTATACTTTTACCATTATCCTAAGGACAACAAATCTGATGTAAGAAAATAGAATGATATTAGAAAATTAGTTCTATTTTTTAAAAATGTAAATTAGTTAAAATTTAAATTTCAAATTTTTTTATAGATTGTTTCCATGTCAGAGGTATTGGTTCCTGCAGTTATGATGATTACATTATCAATGATTCATTCACAAATTGTATCAACTAATTCAGGTGCAAAAATTATAAACAAATATGATAAAAAGCAAGTAAGAAAAATAAGACATGGAAGATCTCGCCTTAATAAGAATAGAGGGAAAAAAAATAGTAGTAAGTAATTTTATATGTACCTTGAAATTACTGCAAAAGCCATTATAATTGTAATTCAAATTTAATCTGATATAATTTAAGGTGAAAATGAAAACTCAAGAAATTTTAATGATTGGAATTCTGATGATAATAAATCAATAAATTCATCAGCAACAGTTAAATTAGTCAAAAAAGTTGTGATCAAAACTTCTGCAATATCTTGTTCACCAAAAATAACATCAGGAATCTCAAATTCCGTAATGAACCATAGCAATCAAGTTAATACATCATCTAATTCATCAATAAAATCGGAAAAGTTAATTGTTGAAGATCAAATAGGTAAATATAATTTAGACAATATATTTGTTCAGGTGATAATTTTCTTAAGAATATTGATAGTTCTATCATATGGATTTCTTTTTAGATACTAATAATGAAGAACATCATGAAGATGATGGATTTGAAAGTTTAAACGGAAATGCATCAAGTGACAATGATAGAGAAACCTCATGTGTTCGAGGTGAAGAAAATTTATTAAATTTATCAAATGAAAAAGATAACTCATCCATAAGAAGGCGTCCTAGAGATTTGATTGGTATGTTATTTTTTATACAATTAAGAATATAATAAATTTTGTTATAATAAAGTTTTATTTAATTGTTATAGTATTTGATGACAATAGCACAGTTTTAGAAAATAAATGTATGGATTACAATAAATCGAGTACAAATGAGAAAGAGGATAATTACAAAGAGTTATCTACAGAAACTTCTTCTACAGGTTTGTATTTTTTTTAAATAAAGAGCTAAAGCAAATTATATTTTGAATTTATTTAAAAACTTTCATTTTTAGAAATTAAGGAATTATTCAAAGAAATTTTGACAGTGAAAGAAAATCAAAGCATTGATGATGAAGAATATGATACTTCAGTAAGTATTGAATTGTTATAAATATTTAAACATTTTAATTTATTAAAAATTTATTGTAGAGCAGTAAGCAGCCATCCATTCATAGTTTCACAGGTAATGAAAAAAAATATGAAAGTGAAGAAGAAGGTGATTGCGATGAAACAATAACAAATGATCTTATAGAAGGAACATCATCTGCAGCAGAATGGTTAGGAGTAACAACAAATAGTGACGATTGCAGTTATAGGTAAACAGATTAATTATTTGTATTCATTCACCATCATATACAGCTTTATATTTATACATAAAAAATTCATAAAATTTTTCAATTTCAAGTTCGGAATTCGAAGAGTCTGATCACGCTTCAGGAGATGAAACAATAAAATGCGGAGAATTTATTGATTCACCATTTTCATACGAATTCGAATTGCCGCCGACGCAAATTTTAAGCTCAAATTGTGCTTTATCTGACAAAGGTAAGAATTGATAATTTTACTGATTTTTGTTTATAAAAATGAAAGTATTTCAAATAAAAACTGCTTATTTTAGTTTCTTGCACAATTTGGACCTACAGGGATGTGAAGAAAGCGGAACTCTCAGTACTAGATATTAGTTCAACAATAATCGCAAGAGTTGAGTCAATGCCTGAAAGTATGGATTATTTTTATATAGGGTTATTTCTTTCAATTATACTTTCACTTGTACCATCATTAATACGTGTAAGTGATTATTGTGGAATGGAAATAGTTAGTAGTACCAATACTTCGTTATTGGCGACTGAGTTTTCTCTAGTAAACCCCAAGGCAATAACTGAGATAATTTTTAAATTCATCAGAATCGCATTCGGCTCATCGCCATGGTAATTGAAATGTTCTAAATATGATGTTTCATAATTAATAAAAATAACACATATTAATTTATCGTCCTTAATTTAAAGGATTCGATCAGTGATTCTATTATCTGCAATGGAGAGATTTTTCTTGGCATTTTTACTTTTCTTTTTACTTGCTGTCGCTGAACGTACGTTCAAACAAAGATTGCTCTATGCAAAACTCTTTTCGCATTTGACATCTTCTAGACGGGCGCGAAAATCGGAATTGCCTCATTTTCGATTAAATAAAGTACGGAATATTAAAACTTGGCTGAGTGTGAGATCATATTTGAAGGTATGAAATAAAAATTATTTATGTAATTTTGTTACAATAAGTAATATCTGTCAAAACAATATTATAATTGAATTTTTATTGTAGCGAAGAGGTCCACAAAGGTCCGTGGATGTGATAATTTCGTCCGTATTCGTGATGACGTTGGCTCTGTTATCATACGTATCTTTGGAATTGATAAAAGTATGCAACTTTTTTTCTTCATCAGAGTCATTCAAATTTAATATTCTAATTTTAAAATAACTTTATTTTAGGATATTGACAACTTGCACTCTCATTACAACATAGAAGCTTTGATGTGGAGTTTTGCTTTGGGTCTTTTTATATTAAGATTTATGACGTTGGGAACGAAAATAAATAACAAATATAGAAATTTGTCCATTTTAATTACAGAACAAGTATGAACAATCATTAATAATTCAAAAATTTGTTATCAGGTATTAATACAATTTTTTTCAGATTAATCTTTATCTACAAATTGAACAAAAGCCACATAAAAAAGAAGAGCTTACAGTGGCCAACAATGTTTTAAAGTTAGCAGCAGATTTAATAAAGGTAATGATGTTGTTTGAATAATTTTAAGAATGCTTATTGAAATCTAAAATTTATTTTTAGGAACTTGAAAGCCCGTTCAAAATTTCTGGCCTTTCAGCGAATCCATATCTGTACACTATTACTAAAGTTGTACTTTTATCTGCACTATCTGGGGTTCTTTCTGAATTATTAGGATTTAAACTAAAGTTACACAAAATTAAAATTAAGTAAATTCTTGTTTACGTTTGTCAAAACCTTTTCGAAAATATTGTGATTAATATTGATAGACATATTCATAGAAATTGAAAATTTTATATCTATCATACAGTTATATTTGATATACAAATTAATTTTATCCAAAGTTTATATTGTGAAAATATGTATTCTGTTATTTCTGTTTTTTTTTTTCGTAAATATTTTAGCGTTTGTATTTCAAGAAGATTTAGGTTTTGGATTGAATGGTCGAAAATGGTACATTAACTTATCTTCATCTCATGTTGGGGTTTTCTGGGCTAATTGAAAAAATATTTTAAACTTTGATCTAGTGCGAAAGTTGTGATTATGTTGAAGACTTATTTTTATATATTGACTAGGGGGGCGAGCCCCCCTGCGCGCTTCGCGCGCCAACCCCCCTCGTTTACGATTTCATATCATTATATGTTTAATTGTATGAGTATATGTTTAATATTACGTTTACTTATATTATAATATGTTATAATTAAGAAATGTTTCGATTTAAACGTCATAAATGTGATAATTATGTATTTGTTTGTGTTTCCACACCACCTTTGAGGTAACAAACTCGGCGCGTTTTTTTTTAAGTGGTATCCCCAGTAGGCCTAATCCACACGGTTTTCTGAAATTATATGGTTGATTAAATTGGATAAGGAAAAGTAATACAAATAAATTTAGAAAAAAAAATATGTCATGTATTAATTTCTCACGATACGTTTACTGCCTTTTATCAAGTCTTCCAAATCCATCGTTGATCCCTCGATGACCGATATGTTTTTAATGTTTAAAATGTTTAGATGGAAATCGTCATCTGTAAACAAGAAGTAAACTTAATAGAAAAAAGTAATATTTTTATATTGTTATTATTATTATTATGTAAGTACCTTTGTAGTCTAATTCTCCTGTTATATCCAATTTCGATCCTCTTTCGAAATTCAACGTTTCGCTTGTAGAAATCGAAATTATTAATTTCCATTGCCCATCCGTGATTGTTGCTACTGATTCTGTGGTAGTTTTATTGTTTACGTAGCGAAACGTGCTTCTTAAATATCCTTGGATGTCTACAGAAATGTAAGTGTAAAAATAAATTATATTGTAATTTTGCGAAATTAATTTATTTAATGAATTGTATTTTACTTACTTATAACGTTTCCCAATGAATGTTTAACGTCTTGGAAGGTTACTTTTTTAATTTTTTTTGTCGGCACGAAGGTGCCAAGTTTTTCGATTTGTGACGTCAATATCAAATTGATGTCGAACGGAGCTGTTCCTTGCGAAAATCTTGTTTTAGCTATAATTTGCGCATCTGTAATCATTATTTTCTGCGGGAAAAAGTAAAATATTTTATAGTTGTTATTATTTAGTTTTTAATTTTTATTTTTTTCTTTTCGTATAAAAGTAAATTGTGATTTTTTATTTACCTCTCGTTCTTTCAAATCTGGCATAAATTTTCTAATATTGTCGTTGTATGCATGACATTGAATTTTGTAACCCATAGTGTTGTTGAGAAGAAATTTTCGCAGCTTAAACGTGCGAGATTGATCCCTCGTCGTGTGTTCTTCTTCGTCAAAAATTGTTTCAACGTAGCCAATGACAATTCTGTAATAGCATAATTCAAGAAATGTTTATTTGTAAGTTTTGCTCGGTAGCAGAAGTAAAAAATTTAAAAAGTTCTAATCGTGGCCCAGGCTTGCGTTGCTGCATTGATCGTTAAAACAATAAAATATTGCGCTGCGTTTTTTGAATTTTTTAATGACAAGTATTTTTGCACGAGTCGTAAAGAAAGTATATTAATATATAAGAAAACTTTACTGTCAGAGAATGTACTGTCATTGTTGTAGAATATTTGTTACCCATGTTTGTCGCCGATCTCGATTGATTCCAAGTAGATGTTTGACGAGTATTCAATTTCTTTTTGTTTTTTTGCTTCTACTGCATCTGACGCTGAAGTTTCTAATTTTCTTTTCGACATTTTCTAAGTCTTGCCACAAAACACTATTGAACACGATTGGACACAAGACACAAATAACCGATTGAAACGAACTTATTATGATCAGTAATGTGTGAACTCCGCGTGTGTATACATGTGAAGTTGCTACGTACTGAAGTTGGGTATGTTTATATATTGATGTTGACAGATCAGTGTTAGTGATTTATTACGAAGTGTCGCGTATTAAAAAATTGGTGAATTTGTATCTATTTGTGTGATTTTGTACGTTCGTTCAGCAATATAAAGTGCAAAAAACAATTCGCGTTCAGTTTAAAGAAGGTAAATTTTTTTTTGTTAAATTATAGTTTAAAGAAGGTAAATTAATCAAAATTATGATCGCATAATATGAATCTGAAGTTTAAAATATAATGATTTATTTGCGATATTGGCGTGTTGTAGCTTAGTGAATTATTGTGTTTAATCGTTATTTTAAATCGTTGTAATTGTGCAAATTTATTAATTTGGTCAAGCGTGTGCTATGTGGTGTTGTTTCGAATTTTTACCCGAAGAACGGAAGGCGATGCCTCAATTAAATGTGCAATGTATGTTTTCGCTACGTAAGCACATTGCCATGAGTCTCTACGCCGGGAGTATTATAGGTTTTTTGGCTCGATTGTACCGATCTTGCACTGATGGACCTTGGCGCGTAAACACCTGGTGGATGGTCGTGTCTCTGTCGTGACTGCCATTGCTGATTTTGATTATGGTAACTATTGCTCATCGGCGGTATCTGCGAGGCATTGTATTAACGCATGTTGTCGCGATAGAGTTAGTAATGATTGAAGATTTCGTAGGGCCCTAGCTCTTTCGTGATTATCGTCACGGGCATGGAATGTTCATCGTCTTCGCCGCGGCTTTTCGGCGCTTGCAGTGGCTTCGATATCTCTTGTTTGGTTATGTCCGGTCGCTGAGGTGGACGATGCTTGGCAGATGATGCACCAGGCGATGTGTGCACCAGGCGGGTATTGCCGCTGGCGATGATGGCGTTGGTGGTCCTGTTCATCACCGTGCTCTCTGATTTATCCTTGCTCTAATGGTCGCTGAGGTGGACGATGCTTGGCAGATGATGTTTTTGTTGCTGTTGCGGCCGCAGTTTTGACGTTATTGAGATTGCGCTTTTTGTATTCTTTGGAAAGTATTTCTGGCGGACCAGCTAGATGACGTAGATCCGGGCCATTGGGTTTTTTTGATGTTGAATGTCCTGGCTTGTTCGTGACCGAAGTACCGGTGTCCAAAAGAGCCTCGCTTGTGCGATCACAGAGGCCGATTTATGTAGATCCTTCTGTACGCCTCGAAAGGGCAGGTGTGTGTAACATTCTTCCCGAGTGACTTTGTTCGGATTCTTCGGGTGCAGCAGCGGCGGTATATGCGGCAGTGGAGAGGTCCCTTCGAAATCGTAGCTTTCTTGCGTCGCTCTTCTTTATTACTCCGTATAACTGATGCCGCGTGCAGCTCGCCCAGGCTCGAGGATTACGTTTCCGACCCGATGATACTTTTTGACGCTCTGACGCTGTGTGTGTTCCATATAATGCCGTGTGGCCGCTGCTGCTGCTGCTGTCCTCTCTATCTTGGTGCGCGTTATTCCTTTTTCGGCGTGCAGACTCGAGAGAAGCGAGCTTTTTGATTCAAAACCCGTGTCGCGCACCATCGTACTGCAAACCGTTCGGTCTAGTTCTTTGCTCCGATCACCACGATTCAATCAGATAATGAAATTTGCTTCAAATCTTCAGCCGTATGCGACTTATCAACATTTTTCTCACAAATTCTAAAAATTTGAAACGAAACAAGATTTAGTGCGCTGTTGTAGCTATGATGTATTGATTAGTCTATTTTACACAATATTAGAGTAGAATTCGGAGCTCATGCCTCTTAATTAATGTCTTCTATCTTGGTCTTTCTCAAGTTCATGCATGATTCGGCATTGATCATACATTCGTTCAATAAACAAATTAAAATTATTTTGATTGATTATTTTCTCACCCACTTTATACTTCAAACTCCAAGACCGATCGTTAGCTGGCGCATCACGTTAAAGTCGCTCCTGCAAATGGTTAGACATTTTTGAGGCTACAAGTAGTACTTCGAAGAAAAAGATAATCTTAAGTTTCTTATTATAATAGTCGATAGTAGGGATTTTATCAAATGAATCTAGTATGAGTGTAAACAATTTTTCCTTACTTTTTCAAATTACCGGGACCCGCAGGACCTACTTCCGAATCTATTTTTTATCGACGATTATTGTGCAACGTAGCTTTCCTGCGCGTACGGTACATCAACTTCTTCAGGATTTTTACCCCTTTGTCTGAACCAATAGGTCGAGAGATTCGTTCTCTCTGTGAAGAGGTGTGAGAGGTACAACACATTCACATAGAACCATTCAATTAACATATACACAAACTTTTTTATTGAACATCAAAAGAATATTACCAATTCTTATATTTTTCTTTTACTCTTGAAAAGTTCGTTGCTCTCGTCGGATTCTCCGAACTCGATTCACTCGCATCATCATCCAGAGAACAATTTTCGTCGCGAGTCCGTCAATAGTTCATGATCATCGGCATTATTATAGAATGATAATCGTCTTCGCGTGGATTTTCGGCGCCTGTAGGGGCGGCGACATTTGCGCTTGATTATGTCCGGTCTTTGGGGTGGTAGATGTTCTCCAGCTGGTGTTATTTTTGCTGTTGCTGCCGCAGCTCCGCCCATGTTTAGCTTGCGTTATTCAAGATTTTGTAGAATATCTCGGGTCGACTGGCTAGATGACGTTGAGCTGGGCCGTTAGTTATGTAGGTGTTGTCGCATCGCGAAACGATATTGTTTTTTGATGTGTGCACCAGGCGGGTATTGCCGTTGGCGATGATGGCGTTGGTGGTCCTGTTCATCACCGTGCCCGCTGACTTATCCTTGCTCAGACGAAGTATACGGAAGATGACGAAGCTTCCGATAATCGTTATAAGCAGTACCATGAAGAAAACGATGTTGTGGATAATGCAGACGCTTAACGGATCTGTAGCCGTAGCGGCACTGAGATTGTACTGGGATAGCCAAGCTGAGCTTTGCTGTGATAGATGAGCTCTGTGAAGATCGAGTCCCAGATATTGAAGGGCAGGATCTTGCCCTTTATCGTTACGTTTGCTAGACAGTTCTTGTAGTAGGTCGTAAAAGTTGTCGTTAGTTACTGATCATATTTGACTAAATCATCCATAGCCAGGTAAGCGAGGTGTGCATTAAGAAAATCAATTTGTGAAATGTTATGATCCGGGTAAATACATCACCTCGCTCATTAGCGACTATTACAATTTTGTTAGTTACTGATCATATTTGACTAAATCACCCATAGCGAGGTAAGCGAGGTGTGCATTAAGAAAATCAATTCGTGAAATGTTATGACCCGGGCAAATACATCACCTCGATGATTAGCGACTATTACATTGTCAGTATGGGCGTTAAGGTGACGTATTTTTAGGATGAGATTTAGCTAGCCAGTTATTTGTTTGATTGGTCTGCTTGTTGAACATCTGTAAATCAAGCATTAGGTTGAATATTCATTTAGGTTTTTTTACTAACCGTTTTTGAAGTGTTCTTGAAGCTTACGCAAAACATTTACATTTTTGTTAACATATTCAGCAAGCTATTTTAGATCATTGTAATGGTTTTTCACAATGTTAGCGTTATGTAACTCTATTTGAACTGTTCCTAAGTCGTGATTATTTTCGCCGGTTAATTTACCTTGAATATGCGTGGTAACATATTGATTAATAAATTTTTAGTTTGAAAAATATAGGAAATTTTTAAGTATTTGTGTATACTATCTTATTTTAGGAGATATTATATGTAATTGAGCTGGAAAATAAATTCATTTCAAGTGAAGGCTGATTGTATTTATCGGGGATAATTGAACATTGTCTGTGTCGGTCTAATATGGTGAAAAATTAAGTTTAATTAGATTTTTTTATTGTATAAAAATTTTAAAGTATCCTCAGTGATATGGGTGTCAAATTTTTTGTTTTAAAATAATACTTTGTTTACAACACAATCATATCATATTTGCGATCATAGTCTGAAATATTTTACATATATATCAAAATATTTTAATGAATACAAAAATATATTTTAACAATTATATATTTGACATAGCAATACTCAACTTTGAGGATAGTAATAGCTGTTATTATTTATGTTCTTCAACGGAATTTTAAAAGCTGAGTCGTTTAAAATCTCTCAATATTATAAGTGTTTTTTTTTCAACATTGGCAATATAAGTATTTAAAAAAGTAGTTGTATTAAAATTTGCAATGTCGTCAAATACTAATGTTCATTTAACTAAAACTATAAAAGGGGACGGCAATTGTTTGTTCCGAAGTTTTTCATATTTTTTATATAATGTTGAAGAAAAACATAGAGAGATTCGATATATAATAGTGGAGTATATATATGATCATTGGTTATCTTTTGAACAATTCATTGTAGGGGATCAATCTTATTTGAAAAATATTAATAATAAAGAAAATTATAAAAATTATATGATTCGTGATGGAATGTATGGAAGTGAAGTTGAAATTGTGACATTTACTATTATTTATCGAGTCAATGTGAGCGTATTTAGTGATGTTTTCCAAAATAATCTGAATTACGGAATTGATTATAATTTTAAATTGAAACTTTTGTTAACGGGTTTATTAGATCAAGGTCATTATGATGTTGTAGAAATGTCAAATAATAATTTTTGGAATTTTTATAAAGAAGAAAATATAGAGAATTTGCACGAAATTTATTGTCGAAAATTAAATTTGTTAATTGGCGATGAAAAGCATATATTTGAAAATTTGGTCGATAGTAAAAATAATATAATAAACGAAAAATATGAATTGGATAAATCATTGAATACATTCGCTGGTTTAAATATTAATAAAAAAATTAAAGCTGACGGAAATTGTTTGTTTCGTAGTTTTGCCTATTTTTTGTATAATAATGAAGACAAACATAGAGAAGTTCGATTAGTAGTAGTTGAACATGTTTATGATAATTGGGAATTGTTTCAATCTTATATAATTGGTGATGAATCATATTTGAGTGATATACAAA